GGCTCCATGATGCAGCCAAGGAGTGTTAGCACATAGCTAATCTGTCGATTAAACTGAAAGCACCTCTGCTACGCGAAGCGCGGCATGAAATGAGCGAGGTCACCTGGCACCCGCGCTGTGAACACCAGTGCTATGCAAAGGTGAGGTGCGTATTTCGTACCACATATTCGGCAGGAATCAAATTTGGGTCCTTGCCACGGCCGCTTGAAGTTGGGATCTTCTTCCTTTGGTAACTCCTTCTCGTGGGGCAGATACGACCCTCGTCCACTACGTGGAAACCACTGACCCTCGTCGTTGTACCCTTCACCGACTTGTTCAACTACGCACGCACGGATCCCCATGCACGGAGAAGACGGCAAATTGCGCCTGCGCACGCGTCTCTTAAGGTAAAGGCCCTCTTCAACCCTAGCCCGCGCCTGTAAAAAATGAGCGGTTGCAACGCGCCGCAATCTTGGCCCACAGAGGCTCTCCAATGCCGAGAGTCTCCTTCATGTAGGACAAGTTGCCGTCCTGCCCTGGGATTTCAGGACGGAGCGTCGAAGCACTCGGAGATGTACCACCTGCTGTACGTACAATCCCGCACAGCCAGCCCGCACAACCATGCGCGACGATTGTTGTTGGACACATGTGTTGCTCCTAGACGCCAAGGTTGCATCCCTCAAGCGGCCGCCAATCTGCCAGTCAGGCATTTGAGTACACTGTACCGGTACTCCTATTCTCTAGTACGTGCACATCGCAGGTCAACCTCGCTCTCATGCTAACGTACAGAACGTCGTTCGCGATGGCGAGAGACAGTGTGCACTCGATTTACAACCGCTCGTCGCCATACGATTTGGTGCTTCGTCGGTGCGACGGAACACGCGCTGTAGAGAGCTAGCGTGGCAGAGGGGCCCCTCCGAACAAATGGCGTTCTAATGTACTAGCTGTAGTAGTATAGTCCCGTCGCTCCTCATCACCAGTAGGGCTATTGACGACCCAAGCTACTTGAACCAGGCAGCAGAAGACTTGCATATCACATCGAAGGTCGCCGCCAAAAAATTTCGCGGACAGTGAATTCCACACGATGACGCGATCCTGTCATTGATACAGCACGGGATTGGTCAAAATAGAAACAAAACAAGCCAATCACAGGAGTTGCTGCTCGCTGCCGAGGCAACCGACTCACTTTTCCAGGTGCAGCAAGGATGAAGGTGCTCCGCAACGCAATCTCGGGCACCCGGAACCGGTACACGGACGACGGCTACGACCTCGACCTGACCTACATCAACGAACGGTACGCGCCATGTGCCCGCGCCGATAGCACCTCTGAGCTGCATGCATAGGGTCCTCGCCATGGGCTACCCGGCGACGGGCATGGAGAAGACGTACCGCAACGACGTCGCCGACGTCGCGTCCTTCTTGAACAAGAAGCACCTTGACAAGTACCTCATCTTCAACCTCAGCGAGCGGTACGCATCTCGGCGTGGCCTTCATTGATCGCACGGACTATATGGGATAGCCATTACGACAAGGCCAAGTTCATGCAGCGCGTCGAAGAGTGCGGGTTCCCCGACCACCATCCGCCGCCGCTCCAGGTATGGATACGGACGCGCTGTGACGTACGGTGACACTGCATGACAGGTGCTCCTCGACATCATCAACCGGATGGCCGCGTGGTACATGGCCGACGAAGAGAACGTGGTCGTCGTGCACTGCATGGCCGGGAAGGGCCGCACCGGCGTCGTCGTCACGTGCTTTCTCATTCTCATGGGGTACTTTGAACGGTACGAACTTGACGATCTGGTCGTCGGGTTGCTGACGATGGACGTAGCGAGTATGGCTTGAGCATTTACCACCAGTCGGACGAAGCGCTCGTCGACTACGTGCGGACCGTGAACGGTATCTTTTGGAAGCGGCGCGGCCAAGGCGTCCGGTACCCTAGCCAAGCGCGCTATATCTACTACTTTGTCAAGCAACTCGCCGAGCTCCACGCACCGCCTGCCCACTTTCACTACCGTCTCCCAGACCTTCCTGCCGCGTCCCACCTCGTACGTGCCTCGATCGAGGTTACTGCGTATGACAAGTTGTCTGTAGTTTCTACGACAAATCGTCATGACGGGCGTGCCCAACTTTGACAACGGCGGGTGCACGCCGTTCTTGCACGTGTTGCCGGCGCCGTCCGAGCACATCAAGACGCCAATCACGTACAACAGTGCGTGGGACTCGTCTTCGTTTGTGAGCTACCCGTCCGACCCGATGACGCGCATCGTCTTCCAGGTGCGTCACCACTGGGATAGACTTGTTATTGGACAAATCTACTGTAGACCGAGTGTCATTTGCAGGGGGACGTGCTCATTCGCGTCTTCCACGCCAACGGCAGCGCGATCCTCGGCAAAAAAGAGTCGCAAATGTGCCACGTCACGGTACACACGGACTTTCTCCGGCACTCGGTACGTTGAACCTGAACCTGAATGTGAATGTCAAAATGCTCAATTTTGCATGTACCAGATGCTTCGCGGCAACAACCCCAAGCACAGCGTCACGCTGTTCAAGCAAGACATTGATGATGCTGACGGCAACAAGCGGTTTCCCGACTCGTTCTCGATCGAACTCGTGTTTGACATCGCGCCGACCGACGAGCCGCACGCGCCGAGCGTCGCGGTCTCGCCACTCTCGACGTCCATGTCGACGCACACGGTCAAGCGCGGCTTCCTCGTCAAGCAGGTAGAGACTATTTTAATTGAAGGACCCTAACCCGCGCATGTACTAGGGCGGATTCGTGCAAAACTGGAAGCGCCGCTGGTTCGTGCTCAAGGACGGCCGCCTCACGTACTATAAATCAGAGGAAAAGTTGCAGCCGCTTGGCTACGTGGCGCTCGAGGGCGCAACGATCGAAGCGTGCAACGGCCGCGACGCCAAGCTGCCGCGCCACGGCTACTTCTTCAAGGTACTCCATCGAATAGCGTGGTGTCAATGTCAGGACACTATTGTCGTCGGCTAGGTGGACCCGCCCAACTGCGCGCAAAAGAAGCGCGTGTACTACCTCGGCGCCGACACGCTCGACGAGATGCACGACTGGATGCGCGTCCTCAAGGAGCACTGCGCGTGTGTGCCCCCGCTGCTCTTGTACCGGTCGTCGTCGTCGTCCATCTCATTTCCCAAGCAAATCAAGTCGGCCGACGCCCACACGCTTGGGCACAAGATGAGCCAGACCTTTGTGAACGGCCCGTCGTCGGCGCCGTCGATAGTCGAGAAGCAGCGGTCGACGCACCGGAGTTCGCTTCCGACGCGACCGACCAACTGGGTTAGCCAGCGCTTTGACGACTTCATTGACGATGACTTGCGCGGGTCGCTCCCGTCTGGTGTCGACAGCTACTACCATTACGTGTACTCGACGGACCAACTCTTGACGGCGAGAGAGCTGCAGCGTCACCTCAAGGCCACGCACGAGTTTGAGTCGTTCCGGCGTCTTCCGCGCGCCGATGCAATGCAGATCCTGCTGCTGCTCGTCGTCGAAATGTACCCGAGCCTCCTCGACGCCGCCGAGGACGACGGCGACAACCTCCTCGAGATGATTGCGGATCGAAGGGATTTTTAACCCCCAAATTTCACGTTCTTTTTCGTTGGCAATGGTTGCGATTGTCAAGTTAATAGCGACGACGACGAGTAGAGAGAAGAGATAGCGAGACACGTCAGCCGGTGTAGTAGTACCACATGTGGTCGGGCGTGTTGCCAGCGCGGCCGGAATTCTGGTCGTCGGGCGGCGATGGAAACGTAAAGACGTTGGGCGTCGGTGGCGGCGGCGCGCGGTACGCCTGCATGAAAGGCAGACCGTGAAAGTCGTTGAAGAGCACGCTGTTCGGGAGCGTCGGCGAGAGCTGGGCCCGCGGGAATGAGGTTGACCGGCTTGCATTGGGCAGTGTTGCCGTCGTCATGGCCTGCGCCTTCGATGCCTCGCCGTGGCGCGTGCCCTCGTCCATGGTCCACGGGCCGGGCGAGGCAAAGGACGGCGGCACTTGGCGGCGCGCCTGCACGTTGGAGCGCTCGGGACGGTTCTTGCGTTTGATGAGGCAGAGACGGTCCGGGCGGTTCTGTCGGAACTCGGGGTGGCTGAACGTGCAAATGTTGGTTTGGCTCTTGGTCCACTTGCGGAAGCCAAAGTAGTTGAGCTGGCGCTGGAAGCTCGCGTAGTTGGAGTGCTTAAAGTACTTGGGCAAGACGACGTTGGCGACCGCGTGGAGGTCGAGGATCTGGATCGACGAGCCATCGAACGCCCACGCGATGATCGCCGGGTCCTCCGTCTCGAGCATCTGGTAGAGGTACCGGAGGAACTTGGGGATGCCCACCTTGCGGTGCTTGACCTCCTTCGCCGGCGACGACGACGATGACGTGGCGTTCATAGACTCGGATATTCGCAACTGGGCCTGCTCGACGGTCGCAAAGCCCAAGAAACCCCCGTAACGGACCCTTTCCGGAAAAGATCGAAAACCCAAAACGCGTATTTTTAGATTGCGGAAACGTGCTCCAGGTCATGCGACCATGCGATGAGGTCGACGTCTTGCTCCATGTACCGAGGAAGCGCAGGATTCGACGGCCGAGCGTCTCATGAAGCATCAGCGCGAGAAGGTGCAAGACGGAAGAGTACATACGACGACGACAAGCTAGTACAGTACAAGAACACTATGCTATACAGGTGATGGGTCGGCGGCTTCAGACGGCCGCGGCGCGGGCTGTCCGGCGCACCATGATCGGCGACTCGAGTGCGCCCGCGCTCGGCGACGCGTCGGGCTCGAGGAGGACCGCGTAGATCTCCTCCATGCTCGGGCGACGCATCGGGTCGGCCTCAAAGCAGGCTTGCAAGAGCGCTTGGTGGCGCGGTCGCAGGTCGAATGTCGGGAGCCGCTCGCCTTCGAGGACGCGGACGGCCGCTTGGAGCGGCGAGATCGACGCGAACGGACTCGCCTCCGTGAGCGTCTCCCAAATCATGACCCTAATCAACAGATCATGATCCTGCTTTATGCGTAGGCTCGCACCCAAAGGCGAAAGCGTCCGAGCGGGGCGTAAAGGTATACGGCGGCGTCAGCGTCTCGGGCGCCATGTACTTGAGCGGGCCGACGCCTTCTTGCACAAACGCGCCGCCCAGAGAGCTCACGCGGCGACAGAGACCAAAGTCGGCGAGCACGCCGCGCTGGGCGCTGTCGACGAGGCAGTTGCTGCCGCGTCGCATATAAGCGTCGGTCGATACATGGAGGAGGACGTACCGGGCCGCCAAGTCGCGGTGGACAAACCCCGCAGCGTGGATCGTGGCTGTCGCCGCCGCCATATCGGCGAGTACAAGGTCCTTCTGGAGAGAGGAGAGGTGGCTGCGGTGCGCCTCGAGGCTACCGTGCGGCACGTAGGCCGTGACGAGGCTCAGCGGGAACGCCGGGTCGCTGCACGCGCCAATGAATGGCACGATGCGCGGGTGCTTGCCAAACTTGTCGAGGACAGCGGCTTCGTGCTGGAACTCTTGCACGATCGCGTCTTGCTTGTCCCCAAACGCACTCTGTCGGAGCATCTTGACGACGACCTAGGCGCATACTCATTCGTCCTGCAACAACATAGCCGTATCTGCACCTCTTGCCCACGGTACGAGGCGCGGTACGCATCGCCGCTGGCCCCGGCACCCACGAGTTCCTTGATCTTGAGGTCGGTGTAGGCGATTTCCATGTACCCACCCGCCTCCTGCACTTCCATCGTGCTTTCTAGCAGCTACACGAGTGTCCACATGGCTGTTTTCGATAGAGAAGACGCAGTACTACCTGAACGTTGGCTTCGTCATCACCGTGGCTCGGGTGCGACAAGATGTACGTCCGAAGCGTCTTGACGCGATGGCCTATGATGATGGTGCACGTAAAGAGGACATGGCCAGTCTGCGGTGCTGTCGCTTGCAGTGGAAACGACACGTGCTCCATGTCCCCGTGCCATACCTACGAGACGCGTTATATGAGGCGACGAGCTCGCAGCGTCGAAGTACAAATGTGTGCGACGCCGTCTCGCTCAGGAGCGCAAAGCCCTCGGGCAGCGCATCCAATGACACGTGCACGAGCGTGCCGCGGGTGACGCGCGACAGGAGCACTTCACGCGACAGCGCCCGGCAGCTCTCGGTCGTGGCTTCCACATGCACGTCGTCGCGCTGCTGCGACGCAAAGGCCCACACGTCGAGCGAAAACGGCGCAAGCCCAACACAGAGCGGCCCGTACGCGGCAAAATGAACGTCGGCGGCCGACGGGGTCGTTGGCAACGCACGAAACACGCCCTGCCGCGCCTCGCGACTGAGCTCTGCGGGCGGCGAGAGCGGATCGTACGGACGAGCGGCGCGCACGACGGCCGGACTGAGCCGGTCGTACGTAGTCGAGGGTGGTGAGGGTGGCATGGCCGATGTGGCGAGGATGCGGCCAATGTTGAGGCGGCGCCGCGGGGGCTTGGCAAAATCCTGCACGACGTCGGCCTCGTGATCGTTGGTTTCGTCGTCCTGCACGCTGTGCGGCGGCCACGCTTTGTCGAAAGCAGGCGGTGTGGGTGCAGACGGCGGCAGTGACCAATGCAGCGTTTTGCTTGGCGTGGCTTCTGTATCGCATCGCGCCTGCTGCGTCTGGGACCGCTGCGAATATGTTGTGAGCGCCGTCGATGGCAGCACGGGTGCTTCGATCGTGACCGTGCTGAGGTCGTGCTGGAAGGCCTCGGCGGCCTCAAAGACGCGGCCATAGACCTTGGATGTCACGACGACCATTGCGCTTGCGAGGAGATCGCAGACGTACAAGCCGAGGGCGCAGTAGGCGAGGACGCCGGCGCGGTACACGAGTGGGTGCGGGTCGTCAAGGAAGAGTTGGAGGTCTGTGCGCAGCGGCGGCAGCGTTTGCACGTCCAGCGCCAACAGCAGGACCGGCGTCGTCGCGAGGAGCCACACGCAGAGGCCCTTCCAGAGCGCAAAGTAGGCAACGGACGACGCGATGGACTCGCAGTAGAGGTCCCAGTGCGAGATGGGCCGGAGCGGCGTGGCCAGCACCATGTTGGCGATCGCAATGTCATGCTCCCACAGAAGCGCGACCGCTTTGTACAGCACGCGGCGCCGGCGCAAGGGGCCGCGGTACGCGAGCAGGACGGGCGACGTCATGAAGACGAGCCCGAGTGCGAGCAGGAGCCCGAGCCAGAACGCCGCCGCAAACATCCAGCTCAGCACGTAGTAGAGCGCGAGGCGTCGGAAGGACCGCGGCGCGACGGGTCCGAGCCACGACTCGGCGGGGGCTGGAGCGCTGGCCGCCTCTTGGAGCATTCCACGCGCTTGTCCCTGGCCAGTTCTCGGAATTTGCGCCAGAATGTTGGTGGCCGCATTACACAGACCAACGTTCTCGTGGCCGACCGAATACCATGGCGCACCTCCATGCGGTGGTCGGTGGTTTGCCACAAAAGAACGTCCACTGGACCCATGATCTAGAGCCGCGACGCCAGCGTTCTCGTCTGCTGAAGTGGCTTGCACCGAGGCGTTGCTTTCTTGCTGCTACTGTAGCAGGCCAAGCACCTCTGAACGGGGACATGGTATCCACGAGCAGGCGTCAAGCCGCTCTCGACGAAGCTTGGTAGCACATTGGGGCACAAGATTGAATTGCAAGCATTATACTACGACTAGTAGTTCATATTCTGATAGCTTACGCAGCAATAAGAAGTGCCGTCATACCGGCCATGGTGGCAAAGGCCGAGAGCGAGGTGGCGGACGAGGGCTTGGCCAGCGGCGCGGTCGTCGGCGTCGTCGTCGCCTTGTCACCGCCGGCCGGCGTGCCCGAGAGGCTCGAGACGGTCTTGCACGTGGCCGTGTAGCCGTTGGCGATGTGGAAGCACACGTTGTCGTTGATGATCGTGTCGAGGCCAACCTTCATGGACTTTTCCATGGGAATATCCGCCCAGAGCGCCTTGACGGCCGAGCCCTTGACGCACTTGCCCTCGGCGAAGAGGTCGTTGATCGTGATGTTGCCGTACGTAAACGTCTTGACGATCGGGTACGACGCAATGTACGTCACGAACGCATCGACGGGCTTGGCGCACGCACCCGGCACGATCGGCTTGGTAAAAACGTCCGAGACAGCGACACCGGCCGTCGTCTTGAACGGGTTGCCTTCGACCGCAGCGCAGCCCTGGTCGTTCGGGATCTGCGTCACCGCGAGGCCGTTCTTGAGGAGCGTCTCGTAGCTGTTGACGTTGTTGAGGAAGCTCTTGGAGAGCGAGTAGGCGCACGTCTGGTTGGGCGTCGAGAAGCCCGGCGTCTGCACCAAGCACGCGGCGTCGACGGCCTTGTTGAAGAGGTCCGAGAGCATCGCCGAGAGCGATTGGCCAAAGTTGGTCTTGATGGCGGCGACAAAGTCCGTGCAGCACGCGTTGCCTTCGATGAGCTTGGAGACCGCGGGCACAAGCGCGTTGTTGAAGCACGGCGTCACGCTCGTCGTCAGCGGCGTACACACCTTTTGCAGGTCGGCGTCCGTAAAGTTGGCACTCCACCAAGCAGCATCGTTCTTCTTGGGCGCGTCCGTCTTGGCGCCGTTCATGAGCGTCGTGACCCACATGAGAGCGGGCGTGCACTTGGGCTCGGTGCCAACGCTGGCCAAGAGCGTTGGCATCGCCGCCGTCACGTCGATCGAGCCAAAGCAGGTGAGGACGCTCGCCGGGAGCTGGTTGAGGACCGCCATGACGCCCTCTGTCTCGTTGGACGCGCCGAACGTCTTGGTGAGGAACGCGTTCATCGGGCTCGCGGGGTCCGTAAGCTTGGTGCATGTCTGGGCCGCGACGGCCGTCGTCAAGGCAAGCATCGTCGCAAGCTTCATCGTTCTTCGGGAACTGGAAATTGAAAACTGTCAATTGCAAGCTTCTGCCTCTCAGTGTCCAACGCCGTCTGTCTGGATCAAACCACATGGGTGCAAATTTTGCGATCCCATTCAAGAGTGACGATTCGGTCGCGGCCAAGGTTCCGACGAGCTGCAACCTGCTGGCCACCTCTGCCTCTGCGACGACGAAGTCTCCAAGGCCCACAACGAGGACGTTGCGGCCGCGTCGCCTGTACAAAGCGGGCAGACACGTGCTTGAAAATATTTCTAAAAAAGCGTGGGACGTACCGGGTACGGAGGGTGCAAGGCCGCGACGAATCAGCTTGGGCTCGAGGCTCGACGGACTGGATGCGCTCATCTTGCTATGCGAGACGCCCATGACAACACCAGTACCATAGGGCAGGTGTCGTGCGACAGCCCACCGCACCCTATATCTATGCAGCGCAATCCAACGCGGCGGCTTCTTCTTGCAACGGACGACGCAACGAGTGCGTGCATAGTCAGATGCGCAACACGGCAGCAAGCAAGTGGGCAAGAAGGCAGCGTCGGAGCAGATGACAAAGGAGGTAATACCGATTCGCAAATGCTGAACGTCTGGGCGTATGGCGACTCAGTGCTCGAAGCCAATGCCAGGCGCGTTGGTGGCTGCGAGGACGGGGTGCTACGCTCTCTGCACAGGCGTGGGCGTCTCTTCCATCGCAGTGGGGCGTCGTTGGACGTGTGGGCGATTTGTGCGTGACGTGAGCTGATGCCACGGTTTCGAGCAGTAAGAAAGCTTTTCGAGTATTTAAAGCGCTTTTTAAGAGAAACTCCTTCATATCCACGGGGGTCATCCTGTTTTCGGTAGCTTGATCCACCCGAGCACGATTACGGAAGACACCCAGACCATGCATCGCCCGGCAGCACTCCTCGCTGTCCTCGGACTCCTCGCTCCGCTTACGCATGCTACCCAAGGCGACGGTAGCAGCTCGCTCATGCTGTGGCCATCTAGCGTTGATGCCAAGTTGTCGATCTCGGGTACGCGACGACTGCCGGCGTCGGTCGAGTCTCATGCTGGATAGACGCCAACGTGGTGACGCCGACCGCTGCTATCATGGGCGTGCTGGACGCGTCGCTCGAGCTCGCCCTCGAGGTGCACGACTGTCCTTTGTATGCACGACTCATGCAATCGATCAGGCTGCGCCATGGCCTGCTGCAATTGCGTCGGTCGACATTGCATTCGTGCCGTCCGTATCGGCGCCGAGCTCGACGTGGGTCGAGTACCTCGCGCAAGAGCAAGCCATGCCCGTCAGCTCCGAAGGCATCCACGTGCGCGTGACGCCGGCTGCAGCGTCAACCGCCACGTCGCTCGAGATCCAGGGCAACGCGACCGCCCTCTTGACGCACCTCCTCGGGACGGCCTTTGCGCCGACCACGACCTATCGTACGCATCCCGTCCATATTCTATCTCACACACGATCTCGCACAAGGCTTCGCCAACGCCTCGTGCGATCTGCCGGCGTACGCGACGAACGCATCGCGCGCGTCGATTCCCTTTTGCTACGTGGCGTCGCGGGACGTCCTCGCGCTCCCCGACGCGTCGACGCCGTCGTTCTTTGCCGCCACTGGCGCGTCACCTCTCCAGCGCGCGCTCTCCTCGTACGTTCAAGTAGCATCCTTCGCCGCTCCACTCTAGCATAGGCGCTTCCCCACGGCCATCGTCGCTGCGTGGACGCACATCTTCACGCACGTGATCGTCGCTCCCATCGACCGCACCCTTGTACAACCGACGCTTTGTCTGTTGAAGTATACGCTTGTATTGCCATTAGGCCCAAGTCGTGCTGCGTCAAGTGGCCGAGACGGCCGACGCGATCTCGGCGACGACCCGTGATGTGCGCATCGCCATCGTCGAGTCGATCGATGCTAATGGTACACGGCGCGTCTCACGCCTGCTCTGGACATCCTTGCGTAGGTCGCGTGTCCTTTCTGGAGCTCGAGGGTCAAGACCGCAACTCGTACGTGGCGCCGCGCACGGTGTCGCGTGTCTCGGGCGTGGAAGCGTCGATTGTCGGGCACGGTGCGTCGCGTGGAGGAACCACGTCAGCGCAGACAATGTGTCCAACCATGTGTTAGGTTTCCACCAAACCATGGCGATCGACATGACTGTTGCCGTGGCGCCCAAGGCGGACGAGACGTGCGCGGTCCTCGTTGTGCAGCCGTTGCCCCAGACAGCCTACGCCGACATGGACGAGTTGCGCGTACGCTCCATTTTGAGATTTGTTTTTGATGTTGAGACTTAGCGCCTCGAACGGTTTGGTGTGTTTGAGCTGGTTGCGTTCAGCAAACACATTGAAATTGAGCGGCCCGCGGCCATCTCGACCGAGCACGTGGTCGCGTTTGTCGCTAGCTTGTACGATATCTTGTTGTTGGCAGCACAAACCGAAAGGCCTACGTCGTTTTGGCTAGGCCCCCGACCGGCCGATTCCGTCTCGAGTACCCCGTGCATTTTCGGTACCAATCGCCGGCCAAGGACTTGCTGTATCGTCCGTCGGTGGTCGTCGCGCCATCGCTCTATGTGCGCTGCACAACGGTACGCTCGATGATGCCACGTCGGTCGTGTCACGAGATTGCATGCGTCTAGGATGTCACTGCCAGCGCCACCGAGTGGACTTCGTACGCATTACGTTGCGCAATGTGATGGCTCATCACATGTCGTAGGGTCGTGTCGCCTTTGGCCCAGCCTGCGGTCTCGGTCGAGATTCCTGTCGGCAACCTCTCGGACGGCCGGGTCGTGACCTCTGTGACGCTCTTTGTGAGCATTGTCGGCTGCCTCCTCCTCTACAAGTCGTTCCCGTCGACGGCCCGATCGACGTTGAAGCAGGCAACGAGCTGGCGCCCCAAGCACGATTGAGACGACAGCCATTACACTCGATTCATAAGTCGGCCAACTCGGGCGGCATGCCTCGAAACGAGTGCGGCCCGGAGCGTGCAGGCGGTAAACTCTTGGTCGACAGCGTCGCGACGGGTGGTGGTGACTCGGGCAAGTTGGGGGGTACGTTGACTTGCGGAATGGGCGCCACCGGCTGGAGCTTGGTTGTTGTGGAGTCGTGGCGGTCGTGGCGATCGTCATCGGTCCAATCACCTTCAGGGATGATGCGCTGGAGCACCGAGCCCATGTGGCGGCTCGAGCCCAGAAACCGGTTGGAACTCATGAGCCGGTTGGAGCTGGTGCGTTCGAGTTGCTTGGGCACCGAGAGGCGGAACGTCTTGTTCTTGATGAGCCCCATCATGGGCGCGACCTTGATTGACGACGACGCCGACATGCGGCGCGTCGAAAGGCGCGCTTCGGAGGCTTCGTTCATTGGCGGTAAAATCGCATCGGTGGGCGAGAGCATCGTCGAGGTCTCCGGTCCCGACGACATTTGCGCCAGCGATGTCCGCACGAGCGAGTTGCGCCGGTACACGTCCATGCCCGTGCTCACTTGGCTCACCGAGATGGCGTGAACAGGTACTTCCTCCAACGCGACGCGCGACTTGATGATGACGCAGTAGCGCGGCGCGCGAAACGCCCAGTACGTATTCCGCGTCATGTAGATGGCGAGGATCTGAAGCCGCTGAAAGGCAAAGTCGTAGACGTTGAAGCCCCACGTCAAGTACGCCTCGCACGGCACAACCGTGTCGTTGACGCGAACCGCGCACGTCGTATTGACCAAGCCGTGCGAGATGTCGAGGTACAGGTCGCGGTTTAAAAAGTTGGACCGGCGGCCCATCTGCAGCATGATGCCAATCATGATGAGGAGGATGATCACGAGCACGTAGCGCGCGGTGCGGCGCGAGTAGAGCGGGTACGCGTCGTAGGCAATGATGGCCGAGAAGCCGAGGACGCCCATGACGTTGAACGCAATCGTGACGTGATCAAACGCACAGAGTGCCGCGTACGCGCCAGCGTAGAGCACCTACCTCACCAATAAGAAATATGAGACTCGGATCGAGACTGAGCTTGGACTGTACGGCGTGCGTGACGAAGAACCACGCGTCAAAGTAGCTCAGTGCTTCGAGCGTCATGCGCCAGTTGAGCTGGGACCAAAAGTAGAGCACGAGCCAGCCAATGCAGCCAGTCGCAATAAGCCGCGTGATTAGAAGGGACATGGCCGGGAGCACCATTGTCTCGAGCGGCGTGCTGTAAAAGACGAGCCACGCGACGGCAAGGACCGCGATGCGCCCCGCGCCCGGCTTGTAGAGCGACCAGTAGTAGGCGACCGTGGAGCCAAAGATCTTTTCAAAGACAGACGTGTTGATGTCGTACTCGGTGAGCTCAATGTACGGGTCGACGGCTGCGAGGATGCCCTTGATGGTCGCTGTCGTGAGCCCGCCCTCAGTACCCGCCCGCGTCGGCATGAGCCCATTCATGCTCGAGACGGACGACCCTAGTGATTTGTATATTGAAAGAAGTGACGATGGGTGCGGGAGACGCACCGACGGACCGGCGGCGCATGGGCCGGAGACTGCCCGTGATGAAGCTGGCCTTGGAGCTGCCTGTGGTGCTGCCTCGCCGCCGGTAGAACCGGTGTATTCGGTCGACGTACTCTTTGAGCATGAGGAGGTCCTGGACCTCCTTCTCTGTGAGCATGGGCTGGCTACGGAGGTAGGTGACTGTGGCTTGGAAGAGCCGCGTCCCCGCCGTGTGGTCCATGACGGCCTGGCTGCAGGCTATTTCGAGCGCGTCTGAAACTTCAACATCGAGGCAGCCGGAGCCAAATATTATCCACACCGATATCGACATTGCCCGCAAAACGCTCGTCTGAGTCACGTATGACAACAGCGCTGGTTGGATGCCACAATAATATGACTAGATTGTAGATTGTGGACTAGTTCAGATTATTAGAATGCTTAAACTCTGTCACCAAGGAATTGGAATCATTCTTTTGGTCACTTGGCGTTCTACCTTCCAGCAGCGATGCGGAAGAAGAAGCGGAAGAAATGGCGCCGCAAGGGGCGGGCCCTCGCCGTGGACCGCTCATTCCATGGCGACCTCAAGATGACGCCCGATTCGTCGTCCCGGACACGGAGCCCTGGCCGGAGCTCGGCCACGTGCCGGACATAATCTGCAAGCGCACGTGCTCGGACGAGGCAGTCCGCTTCCACGCGCAGCTTCATCTTGCGGTGCGAGGAAGGCAAGCTCTCAACGGTCGTGCTTCGTCGCGTACCTGCTTCCGGCGTCGCTCTCTCAAGCCGTACCACCGCGCCAACGGCAGCGTGGACGTACTTTGGCGTCGTGACGCATGACGTGACATCCCTTTGACGCGTCGCGGGTCCCCCGGTCTCCAAGCGTGAGCTGCGTCGCCACGCCAACGTCTCAGAAGACCACGTCGAACAAGTCGTTCGTGAGCTGCCACTAAGCCGGGGCTACTGGACCATCAAGCTTCGGCGAGCGCAACTTGTGTCCAGCAGACACGGTGGCCGCCGTATCAAGGTCAGCAACCCGGTATCTCGCATCTACCCGTGCTGGTTGGCGCACCAACGCCAGCTGCTGGTATCGAGCCGGTGGCCGGTTTTGCGTTTGGCTGCATTCACCGCGATAAAGTACGACGCTGCTTCCGCCGTGGTGTTAGTGACGCCTGGCGGTTCGCCGCGCTCGTCGGCACACGTCGCCACTCTCTCAAACCTGTCGTATCTAGGGACGACCAGGAGAAGACGCCGTCGATGAAGAGCATGGCAGCGGCGACGACGACGTGCGAGGAGTTGACACCGTCGAGACGGCGAGCTTAAGCGCTTTACGACGTGAATGTACGACTGCAACACCTTCAACCCACGATGCCTTCAACCCCGTTGAAGGCCGGCTAGACGGCCCGCAATATGATCCGGCTCGTCAAGGAGCGCGCCAAGATTATTCAGCGCTGTGGCGTGGACGAGGCGCTGAAAAAGGTCTTCAACGGGACCCTGTACGCTGGGCTTTATCGGATGTATCGTCTCAAGATCGTGTGCGATCATATCAGCGACATCCTTGTACCCCCCTCTTGTATCGAAGGACCACCCAACTCACCTCACCCTCGTAGGCGCAAGCTCTCCGTGCGCTTCATAATGTACTCCCCTATTTGCAGCATTGGGCGTGGATTGCTCAATTGTTGATAGGGTTGATCTACGTGGATTCACCCTCCACATTAATGTGTCTCGCGTGTTTGGGCGCTTACCCTTGAACGATAATCGAACGCTGCTTCACGCATACTAGTAGTACCGGTAGCCGTTCGTCCGAAAACTCGTCTTGTTGACGCCGACCATGGTCTTACCAATCAATCACACGGAGAAGGAAAAGAGCCAAGGGTACTGCGCCACCACGCACTCCGCGGCCTCTCTGGGTCTTTGCTGAACGAGCGTAGCTACATACTTGGGACCTCTTGCACCAGCCCAATACGCTCCTCGAGTGCGAGCATCCCATACATGTACGTGCGTCGGCCGACACGTCAACAATATTTGCTCAAGATCGGCGGTATCTTCCTCTCAGAAACGATATTGCTGTTGAAGTATCATTTGTTAGAGTTTGATTGGAAATCACGAGCCGATTTCCTGTTGAGCGCTGCTGGCAGAAACCAATTTGCACAGACGATGAGCCTGCGCTTCGACGGACAAGTGGCGATCGTGACCGGCGCCGGCGGTGGCCTCGGCCGCGCTTACGCCCTCCTCCTCGCCGCCCGTGGCGCCAAAGTGTACGTCGCCACTACGTACTGCGTGCGTCACGGCTTGTGCTAGCGTCGTCAACGATGTGGGGCGCGCCGCGGCAGGCAGCACGGACCGCCCGTCCGACTTGGTCGTCAAGGAGATTCAAGCCAAGGGTAGATGCTCTATGAGACGGCTCTTCTTATACCGTCGTAGGTGGCGTTGCGGCAGCCAACTACGACTCGGTCACGGACGGTATCTTGCCCCACTTTGTCGCCACATAGCAAATCTGTACATTTCGTAGGCGCCAAGGTCGTGGCAACGGCCATTGACACGTTTGGTCGCATCGATATCGTTGTCAACAACGCCGGTATCCTCCGCGACGTGGTCTTCCACAAGATGAAGCAGAGCGACTGGGACCTCGTCAAGGCCGTTCACCTCGAAGGCAGTACGTGTTTCTTGCCCGTCGTCCCGGTGCCATAGCCACCATGTTAGCGTACGCTGTGACGCGTGCGGTGTGGCCGTACATGCGCGACCAAAAGTACGGTCGCATTGTCAACATCACGTCCGTGAACGGCTTGTACGGTCAAGTCGGGCAGACCAACTACTGTACGTACAACGTTTGCGCAGCGCAGGGTGCCACGTCAAGTACTAGCGGCCGCCAAGATGGGGATTGTCGGTCTCAGCAAGTCGCTCGCCAAGGAAGGCGCGCGCAACAACATCAAGGTCAACGTCGTCGCGCCGGGCGCGGGCTCGAGCATGACGGCCACGATTCTTCCGGACGAGGTACGCAAGCCGGCAATGCCTTCTGTAAATGCCAAGCGGCAACTAGGTGGTCAAAAAGTGGAAGCCCGAGTACGTGGCGCCGACGGTCGCGTTCCTCTGCCACGAGTCGGCGCCGGTGACGGGCCAGATCTTTGAGAGCGGCGGCGGCTGGACCGCGCAGGTCAAGTACGTGCGCAGCGAAGGCCACTTTTTCAACATTGACGGCGACATCGCGATCGAAGACGTGGCCGCGCAGTGGAGCCATATTACCGACTTTGCCAAGGCGAGCGACCCGGAAGCCGACGGCGACATGACGCCGCAGCTCAAGCAGATCATGGCCAAGATCTAAATGACGCCGTCGTCATCAGCATCACACCTCATCTTGCGACAGCGTCTACACTTGTGGTGACAATAATACTCGTTGGACTAGTACTACAGTGTAGTGAACAACAACCGAGCGCAGGCCGAGCACATGTTGATACTAGCAAGTCCAGAATGAGCAGCTGCGGCGTGCAATGCAACCTCATGGCGCATCGAAATGCATTTGGTCGCAGCTCAGCGGCAGGACCGTGGTCTCGTTCATTGCCTGAGGTGCCGACCACGTCAGGAAGAGAAGGGCTGTTGCAACAGTCGTGGGTGCACAGTGTAGCCGGCTTGCGCCGATCGCCAGGCGAAATTTTGCTCTCGCCTTTCCCACCCCAGTATATTAACACTGGGATTTGTATGGACGTCGGCCACATGGTGCAAACTCGGCGCTGCTGCCAGCACAACCCAATCCGCCGCATCTTCCGTAGCAGCCATGAAGACGACCTGTGTCGCCCTTGCCGCCAGCCTCGCGCTCGCCGCCTCGACCGATGCCCACCAGCGCAAGTCGGCGGTTGCGTTCGAGGCGACGACGGCGACGCCGTTTCTGCCGATCGTGCTCAAGGGCCAGCGCATGTTCGAGTACGAGACCGGCAAGCCGTTCCAGGCCAAGGGCGTCGACTACTACCCGCGCCCGAACACGGGCCTCCTCGACCTCAACAACCTCGACTTCTTCACGGACGACCTCGAGGCGATTTGGCTGCCGCACATTGCCGAGTTCACTGCGCTTGGCATCAACACGATCCGCTTGTACGCGATCGACCCGTCCAAGCCGCATGACAAGTTCATGTGCGCGCTCTCGGCCGCCGGCATCTACGTGCTCGTGGACCTCGGCGCCAGGTAGTTGGCCTTCTTTTCGACGCCACGATCTCACGCGTATGCTAGCTGCGAAGGCTGCGCGATCACGGCCGAGCCGTTCCCGACGTGCTACCCGGCGGCGCTCAAGACTCGCGGCCAGCAGATCATCACAGCGTTTGCCAAGTACAACAACGTGCTCGTACGTTGTCTTCGTACGGCAGTCTCATGGCTCATCCTTCCATGCGCAGGCGTTTAGCGCTGGCAACGAAGTCAACCACGTGGTCAAGGACCCGACGGTCAACGGCCCATGCCAAAAAAAGTTCATTCGCGATATGCGCGCGTTCATCAATTCGTGCAGCGCCAACATGCGTTCGATCCCCGTCGGCGTCGTCCTCGCCGACACGAACCGGTCGCCCAATGCGCTCTACTACAACTGCCGCACCGACCCCAAAGACACGCTCGAGAACGCTGAATGTACGCTGCCACGTCATAGCATAAAGCTGATCGTATCGATAGGGTATGGCATCAACGTCTATCTGCAGTGTGACCCCAAGGCGACGGCCAGCAATGTCGGTGCGAGCTTTGCGCAGCTCCACAAGGACTTTCAGGGCTACAAGCTCGCGGGCCCGACGATGCTCACCGAGTTTGGCTGCCTCAACAAGGCCTTCCCGACCGTCGAGGGGTACGACGCCCAGCGGTCGTGGGTCCAAGCGTCCTGGCTTCTCTCCAAGGACTTTGCCGACGTCTTTACGGGCGGGTACGCGTTCGAGTTTTCGACCGAGAACGCCAACTCCAAGGCCGATGCGCCGTACCCGTTCACGTCGTACGGTGCGCAGAACTATGGGCTTGGGTACTTTTCGCCCGCGACGTGCGACCACTCGACGACGCCGTGCAAGTTTAACCGCATGCCCAACTTTGAGGGCTTGGCCAAGGCGTACAAGGGCGCGTCCACCGTGCTGCCGTCTATGGCCGAGTACACACCGACGGTGACGACGCCGCCGACGTGCCCGAAAGAGTTTTCGAGCCTAAAGGACTCGACGTGGGCCGCCGATAAGGTCACCGACATGCTCTGCCCCGACTTGACCAAGACGACCATGTGCCCCGGCCACGCCATCATCACCGGCAAGGCCACGCTCCAAACCGAGAGCAACGCGACGGACACGACGATCGTGCCGCCGACCAAGACGACGCCGACGGCGGGCTCGTCGACCGGGGCGCCGACGCCCGCGGCCAACCATGCGGACGCCGCCACGATCGCGGTCGGTGTCGTGGCCGCGGCGCTGGCGTTGCACGTGTAAATGCCACTGCGATCTGAGTTTTGAACTAGTTACGATGCAATGCGAAATGAATTAAGGAGCTTAAATGTCGTCCGAGTTGTCGAGGTTGAGGACGAGTTTGCCCATACCTAGAGTGTGCATAAAAATGGGTCGGATGCTCTTCGCGTGCAGCGACGTACCGGGCTTGAAGGCGGGCTGGCCCAAGAAGGGGCAGCTGCCGCAGCGGAACGCGTCGCCCTTGTAACACTACATAGGAAAAGAGGTCAGATGGACGCTCGGAGGAAGGACGTGGTGCGTACGCTGCCGCAGTTGGAGACGAGCAGCTGCAGGTCGACCTCCGACATGGCCGGCTCGTCGTTCTCATCCTTCATCCTAAAGTATATGTCAGGAGAGATCCAGAAGAAAGCGTTGGACGTACCCGCACGTGCAGTCCTTGCAGCGGCGCTTCTTGCCGTCCTTGCCTGTGCCGCAGTCCATCTTGGCGGCCTTGAGCACTTCGTCCGTGTCGTCGAGCAAGTCATCTTCGTCAATCATGTCGTCGTCATCGTCGGCCACCACTGTCCACCTAAACATACGCTTCGCTTCGGCTTTGCAAACGCGAAAGACCTACTTGGACTTTTGGACGGGCTTGATCAAGACGGCCGCGCTTGCGCCCTCGGTAAAGCCGGGCTTCGTACCCGAGAGGCGCAGGCCCGTCGCCGTCACGTCAACGTTTGAGTTGACAAAGCCTTGCAGCAACAGCTGCATCAGAAGCCCGTTCTTCTGCGCTTCCGTGTCGTTGCCGTCAAGCGCAACATACGCCTCGACGCTGGCGCCGGCTTGGAGCACGCGGTAGATGGCAGGCAGGCTCGCGCCGCCAAAGTACACGACCGACGCCACGCTGTTCTCGGGCTTGGCCTCGAACGCGTCGATGCCCACGAGCTCGTGCTCGGCGCCCGCGTGGGCTTCGGCGGCGGCGCGCGACGAACCTTCGAAGACGACGATGGCCATGGCAAATTAGATTCTGGTTGCAGTTTTGCATTTTTGTCATTTTATTAAAATTCAGCCTCTCCCAACCAGAGATATTTTTCCGATCCAAAAATCCGATCGCCGAAATCGGGAGGAGGCACGTGCATGGATGGTAGGTGGCAGGTGGCATGGACCATGGACCATGGACAACGACGCTGGGCGGCTGCGACGCTGGGCTAACGTGCTGGTCTTTGCAGCTACCTGCCGTCGGCCAGCATGCCAAGCGGCGTGGGAAGAGACGTGGGAGTGCTGCGACGATGGGCAGATCTATCCCACGTTGTCGCACTGGCGATAGGCCAGTCGGTGCACGCCATCCATCTTGCAGCAACACGTCGTCGGGTGACATAGGTTCAATTACACGACGTCAAGCGGTAGCTACAGGTATGTAGAAGTGTGCGCGGACGCTCAATTGGTCTTTTCCTTCTTGGCGCGCGCCGAGCGCGATGCGCTGACGACGTAGTCCATGTAAAAGACGTAGCCAACCTGGACGATGGTGATCACTGGCATGAGAAGCATCTCGAGCGGCGTGTTTTTGCGCGGGTTGATGCCGTTGCCAAGGATGCGAAGGACCCAGATGCCGAGGTCGTTGGTGATGGCATAGACGCCGTTGGCGACGCCATCGATCATGCTCTGCGCGACTTGGTCCGGGCTACACACACCGATCTGTTCCTGTGGCCAAGGTTATGGACGCAGTGTACCTCACAAGGTCGGCCGAGCCTTCGATCTCTTTGCACTCGGCCGGCTTGGTCTTGTTTTCCTGGACGAAGCCAGGGCTGTCAATGTTGCCCGGGTAGAAGACGTGCACGTTCATCTTGTAGAGCTGGAGCTCGTTCCTAAACGCAGTATGTAAGGCCATGACAGAGCAATGACGTGGCAAGCTACCGGAGCGCATCGGCAAAACCACGCACGGCAAACTTGGTCGGGCTGTACTGGGCGTACCCAATGAACGAGATGAGGCCGCAGCCCGAGCTCACGTAGACAAAGGTGCCACCTTCGTTGCGCGCTACCATCGCCGGCAGCGCCGCCTACGGCGATGTGAGCTTCGCGACGCGATTGTACGCATCGACCTTGGTGGCATGCACGACACCAAAGTAGTTGAGGTCCATTTCCTTGCGGAAGATCGAGATGTCCTGGTCGAGCACGTAGCCCGGCATCGCCGTGCCCGCGCAGCACACAACATGGTCCGTGACGCGGTTGTGGAACGTGTTGGCGTCCGCGACCGCCTTCTGGACGCTCGCATAGTCCGTCACGTCGCACGACTGCGTAAAGACCGGGTGCTTGGCGACAGCCTAGAGAGGTCTCGTTCGGTGCCTGCGTCAAGAGAATGAGGGATCCAACCTGGATCTCGTCCTTGGCCTTGGCGAGCGCATCGGTTGACCGCGCGACGATCGTAACCTTGGCGCCGGCTTGCGCGTACTTCTTGGCCGTCGAGAGGCCCAAGCCCGCGCTGCCACCTAGACAACATATTGTCATTGCGGCTACGAGGTTGACGGGCGAGGCGAACCCGTGATAAAGACATGCTTGCCATCGACCTTGAACCCAGGCGCGGTCAGAAAGCTCCAAAGGTAGCTCAGCTAGCATAGCGTAAGTATGGCAGGTAGAGGCGAGAGCGTACCAAGGGCAGGCCCACGCAGGCGCCCACCAAGTACGTCGTCCAGCAGCAGCTACACCCGAGCATCCTTCAACGCCAAAGCCAAAAACAGAATGAGGACAACGATCAACCTCGTCGCGTTGACCAATCACACGCGGGCAGAAATGGGGTAAACTCAAGAAATCTTGGGTAAAACGTTTGTCCCGAGAAAGGCATTTGCGCGATGCATGTACAGCCGTTGTCCCATCTCGCTTCAGCACGAGACGACGACCATCCAACCGAGCGAATAAGCTTTGCATAGATGAAGGGAATTGTGCCAAGGGCTATGTTAATAGTACATACTAGGGTTATCGTGACCAATCATACATATGCACCAGTAGACGCTGTACTCAAAACACCGATATGTTGCTTGGCAACGCGTTCACCCGTTGCCAAACATTGCATCGGTTGCTGCCAGACAATCATCATCTGGCACGTGGCGCGTCGCGCCGTGGTGCCATCGCTTGCCGAGTTGCTCAACGCGACGACCTGTGGTGCGCTCGCAACCCTGCTCGTCGCTTGATCACAGCCACTGACGCTTGACGCGCCGACCATGCCTCACGAGCGCAGTAGGAAGTCCACCATCTTTTGTCTTTCAATTGCGTGTTCATCACCCATTTCAACAACCTTAGCGCAGACGATAAATGACCTTGGTGCGAAGCACCGGAATGTTGTTTGGCAACGGGCAACCCGTAACCAAACACACCTAACGTTACCAGTGCATGGGCCTGTGCTTATGCCATCCTGGCGCACTGTGAAATGGACCTCATTCCTGGTGACTCGCGCTTCCAGACTTGTGGAGCGTGAGATTACCCCAATATTTTGGATTACCCTAATACTTCGTCGAGTGCTTGGGAGGATCCAGCGACGAGCGTCGCGCGCTGGGCCAGAAACGCTACGACGCTCGTATTCAAACCTCTATCTTGCAAGGTTTGCGCAAGGTACATGCGAAGATCCAAGCGCTCCAGTCCACCAGGCAGTGGCGCGGCTGACGTCTCGATGAGCGCCATGTACTGTGCGAGGCGCAGTGTTGGGCTCGATGCGAACGGGCTTTTAGGAGTGTCGTTCTGCGCTGCCGACACCGTCGACAAAAGCCAGACCCACCCTAGTAGGACGCGCCGCATGCTTGTCTTGCGGAGACGATGTACTCTCTAATGGGAAAAACAACGTGTTGCGTGGGGTAAAAGCGAAATCTTCAGCGTCGCCAAGGAAATTCCCTCGAGTTAGCGCACAACGCGCAGCTGGACGTGGTGGTCCCGGAGCTTTTGTAGGCTGGCGTCCGTGACGCGGTCGCAGCCCGTGACATTGAGCACCTTGAGCGAGATGCACTGGTAGTACCCGGTATACGCGGTCGTACCGTCGAACGACGTGAGCTTGGGCACATATTTGTTTTGCCGCCCTTTACTGTCCAAAGTGCACCACAGCCCGACAGCTTTGGGGCGCGACCCGAACGAGAGCACGAGTTCGTGGTCACCAGGCGCAGCTTCACGGTACGCGACGCGCTTGCAGTCAAACTTGCGCAGCTGTGTCTTCATGTGGTGCAAGTCAAACTACCATTGGAATACGTGGAAGCGACAAAGACCAAATGTCCAACCTCTTGGGGCACGCGAAAGCTTGCGGCATCTTCGGGCGTGAGCTGCAAGAGCACGCGGCTGTACGTCGCCAAAACCGCGATGCCTGCGTCCGAGACGTTCTTGCAGCCGCTCAAATGCAGGTTGTCCAGATACAAGAGCTCTTGCCCGATCGCGTCGAGGGCGGCGTCGGTCACGCGGCGGCAGCCACCAAAGTTGAGAAAGTCGAGGTACCGACAGTGCATGGCGAGCGCCATGAGGCCTATAGACGAATCTCATCCTCTAATTTCAATCGCGTCACACGATCACCTCGGTCGGTAAGCTGATGACAGGCCCAGAGAATGACGTGGCGCAAGCGGGGGCACTGCGACACGATCGATGTGAGCGCCGCGTCGTCGATCAATTCGTGACAAAACGAGACGTCCAGTGCGTGCAGCGTCGGTCCATAGAGCTCTAGCAAGTGCGTTAGAGTCTCACATCCAATGAGAGGGCCAACGAAGATGCTCGTGGAGCTTGGTGACTTTGGTGACGCTGGGCCGCCGAACGACGAGGGCTCGAAAGAAGAACGGGTTCTTCCGCACGAGCTTGTAGTGCTTGGTCGAGAGCAGCATGAGGGTCGTTGCGAGCGTCATGCGCGTCGTGTCGTGTCCAATGCAGTACTAGTAATCGTAGGAAGCGGACAAAGAAATGAGAGCCAGAAGGACGAGACCTCGGCCTCCAACAAGGCGGCGACGCGACACAGCACGGGCTCCATCGACAAGGCCTTGCCGTACACAATCTCTCTTCGGCACAAAAGATCTAAGAGATTATGCTGTGGCAAGCTCGCGCTGGCACTGAAGAGGTCGGGACGCCACGGGGCCATGCTCTCGATCAACGCACGACGGACTAAAATTAGTCGATCGGAGACCGTTTTTGAAGCCATCCTGAGCTGCCCGCGGTTTTCTTGAAGGCAACAGCTCACGGCACGACCGTCGTGGTCTTCTCCGTGGTCTAGTACTTCTGGCGAGCTCAAACTAGACCCTGGACTAGACCCTGGACTAAACCTGAGCTCGGATGGCTTTGGAAGCGGGGATATGTGTCAACTGCCCCTATGTGGTCGTAAGGCACTATGGTGTTAGCACGAGACCATGCGGGGTGATATACACTGTTGTATAGAATACATATAGCTAGAGAGTCGTCGAAGTAAAGTGATCCAGTATCGGTGGATACGCAGGTTGCAGTCTAGACTTACGTGGCGCCACCAGTGCATGACCCTCGTTTGAAGAACATGTGTTCTTGTAACACGACTGAGTTTTTATTGGCAGCCCGCGGAGCTTCAACACGCGAGATCACAAGCAGGCAGAGCGATGGACGAAGGCTTCTCCCTGAACATCGCCGTCGGGTCGGGCCCCAAGCTGCCCGCGAAGCGCAAGATCGTCAAGTTCCGCCAGAACAAGGTCAAGGCCAAGAAGGCGCAGGCGGCCAAGGCGGCGCCGGCCAAGGCTGTGCGCGCCGTCGTCAAGCCCAAGGCCCAGCCCACGCCCGAGGCCGCGTCACCGACAAAGGAAGTGCCGGCCAACGCGTACCCGGATACGTCGTCGGACGAGGAAGAGGCCCCGCCCAAGGCCGTGCCCGACGCCAAGCCGGTCGTGACGCAGACCAAAATCCAAGACATCCCCGAGATGCAAAAGAAGGTCGTCGACACGCCCAAGCCAAAGGACGGCAAGGTCGGGTCGCGACGCAACCCAAACAAGGAAGCGTACTCGGCGGAAGCCCTTCTCCGCCCGACGCTCGACATGTCCAAGGTCACGGTGCACGAAGCGCCGCTGCGGTCGTCGACGTCCAAGGAGATCTTCTCAGCGACAACGTTTGAAGCGATGCAGCTCCACCCGCACTTGGTGTCGATCTTGACCAAGCCCAAGGAAAACGGTGGCTTTGGCTTTGACCAGCCGACGCGCGTGCAGGTCAAGAGCGTGCCAGCCATTTCGGCGTCCGGCGACGTCCTCCTCAAGAGCGAGACAGGGTCCGGGAAGACACTCGCCTTCTGCCTGCCGATGGTCCACCGGCTCATGTCCAAGACTCTGCGTATCTCGCGCACCGACGGTTGCCTCGCGATGATCCTCGCGCCGACGCGCGAACTCTGCACGCAGATCCAAGAGACCCTCGAGCGGTATATACCTTGTATCCTGCGTCTCGATATATCTATTCGTCTTCACTAGGCTGCTCAAGGTCGCCGTGTACATTGTCGCGGGCAGCGTCGTCGGTGGCGAAAAGAAGAAGTCGGAAAAAGCGCGGCTTCGCAAAGGTACTGCATCGTCTCCCCAAGGCATGGGTACCACGTCGTTTGTAGGCGTCTCGATCCTGGTCGCGACGCCCGGTCGGCTCGTCGACCACCTCACCAACACCCACTCGTTCGCATACAACCGCCTCGAGTTTCTCATCTTGGACGAAGCCGACCGGCTCTTGGACATGGGCTTTGAGCGGTCGATCACGCAGATCCTCGAGTGCATCGCGTCCAAGAAGGACGACGACGTGGTACGGCAGACCATCCTTGTCTCGGCGACCATCAACTCGGGCGTCGAGCGGCTGGCGGCCATGAGTCTCACATCGCCACGCTTTATCGACGCCGACACCAAAGAGTATGTTGCATGCCATTTTCTTGATGACAAAGCTGGTGGCTTAGGCAAGCCGCCGTGTACGCGACGCCGGAGCAGCTCATCCAGCAGTTTATGATTGTACCGGCCAAACAGCGTCTCTGCGCGCTCAGCTGCTTTCTCCGCTCGGAATGCAAGAAGGCCAAGTCGTCCAAGATCGTAGTCTTCCTCTCGACGTGCGACGCCGTCGATTTCATGACGACGCTCTTTCAAAAGTGCCAGTGGCCGCAGCGCAACGAGATGTTTGGACCTGCCATCTTCCGCCTCCACGGCAACGTCAACCAGCAGGAACGCACGTCGACCTTCCAAGCCTTTTGCAAAGCGTCCTCCGGTATCCTCTTTTGCACGGACGTGGCCGCGCGTGGTCTCAACCTCCCGACGGTATCGACAACTCAAGCGACTCGTGGGTATCCAAGGACGTGGCGTAGGTGCAATGGATCGTTCAGTACGACCCGCCGACCGAGACGCGCGACTACGTCCACCGTGTCGGTCGCACGGCCCGCAGTGGCGCAGTACGACAAGAGATGCTGTCGTTGGGCGAAGTTTGACATTGGACTAGGTTGGTAATTCGCTGCTGTTTTTGCTGCCGTCCGAGGCCGCGTACTGTGAGCATCTCCAAGCCAACGGACTCAGCCTCACAGCGCTCAACTACGAGGCGACGATCGCGCGGTCGGCGTCCAAGGGCGAGTTCCGCACGTCGAGCAAGAAGGCGCTGCACGAAGTGATCGTGCACGAGTTGCAGTACCTCTTTGAGCAGTCGGTGCTGGCCGACACGGAGCTCTTTGACATGGCGTGCCAAGCATTCCAGTCGTTTGTGCGCAGTTATGCGACCCACGCGAGGTACTTTTGTGTGTTTTTGATGCGATGTTGAGGATCGGTGTAGTGAGACGCGGCAGTACTTTCACGTGCGCAGCCTCCACTTTGGTCACGTCGCCAAAAGCTTTGGGCTGCGCGAACCGCCGGCCTCGTCCAAGGTGACGAAAGCGAGTCAGTCGGCCAAGCAAGGGACGCTCAAGAAGCGCAAGGCCCGCCAAGAGGTCGACGAAGAAATCGAAAAGAAGAAGCAAAAGAAGGTCGTCCAGAAGAAGCGCGAGTACAACCACCATGTGTCCGAGTTTGCAGAATAGGCAGCCCTCGGTCCTTGTATCTATTCCAGCAACATATACACATTTCTCTCTCTGCGCGGCCCTTGTTTTGGTCGAAGCACTGTTTCAAACACTGTGTGGAACAGGATTCCATGGCGTGCCGTCGTCGAGGGTGCGCAGCCCATCATCTCGAAGATCGCAATTCAAACTCCACTGCATCAATGAATATAGCACATACCACACCTGTGTTTTACACGTAGTATATTAGAAGGCAGATGTTTTACACAATTCACACGGTGAGAAAGGAGCAAATCCCACCGATGGATTACGCAAGTGCTTGCGACAGTGCGTTGACGAAACGCTTGCGCGTCCTAATTAGGATCGTTGGCCACGACCTGGTGGCACTCAGTCGGGATCGCGAAGCATCACGAGCAGCAGCAGCATGGGTCTCTTGGACGTCCTCAGCGCAGTCCTGCGCCCAGGAGAAGCCTCGGTACGAAGCCATAGAGCTGCCTGTGCCCATGCGTCTGTGCTAGCCTCCGAGCCTCGTCGTGACGCTGCTCGTACTTGTGTGGCTTGCGATCTTCGCCCACGTTGCCGTGCGCTTGAGCCTCATTGGCGTCTACAAGCTGCACTACTTGTGCACGGCGCGCCTGCCTGCCTTGACGTACCAAGGCAACGACATCATGCGCCAGCTTGTAGCCGCCTGCCCACGTATTCGTACGTCGTCACGCCATGTTTCCGGCACTTGAACCACCTTTGACGTAGGTGCCCCGTACCACCCAACTTGGTACCTCTTCAATGGGTACGACCATCAAGCCCCAACGAGACAGCAGTGCATTTGACGGTAACCATCATAGACACCTGCAGACGCTCGCGGTGGCGGCCGAGAACGACGAGCCGCGCGTCGAGTACCAGCGCGAGCTCTTTTCACTCTCGGACGGCGGCGTCTTGTCCTTGGACTGGGCTAAAAGCGCTGCGACCGTGCCGGCGGCGTCGTCCACCAACGACCACAACAAGCCAACCGTCGTACGAGACTTTGACTTCTTCGACCGGCATGAACGATGTGTTGCTATGACCGTAGCTCATTCTGCACGGTCTTGCTGGAGGCAGCCACGAGGTGCAAAGTGGTGAAAGGTAAATCTCACAACCTGTATGTAGAAATACGTGCGTAGCGGTGTTGTGGCGCTCATCCAGAACGGCTGGCGCGTCGTTGTCATGAACGCCCGCGGCTGTGGCAAGACCAAGCTCGCCACGCCCAAGGTACATGAGTCTCGCAACGCTTGTTTTCGAAGCGCTGTCGTTAGCTCTTTTGCGCGGGGTACACGCAGGATGTGCGCGAGGTCGTAGCGTACCTCCGGGAAGCGCACGTCCCGACAAGCGTACTGCTTGGCGTCGGGTACTCGCTCGGTGGCAACATCTTGACCAAGTTTGTCGGCGAAGAAAGCAATCGGTGCTTGCTCACGGCGGCAGTCGCGGTCGGCAACCCGTACTGCCTCACGACATCGAGCCACCACTTGATGGGTTCGTGGCTCTACCGCCTCACATACAACAACATTATGACCAAGAACCTCATCGATGTGGTGTTCCGCCAGGTACTTGAGTACCCTAACCCTAGTTTATCTACAGCGTTTATCGGTAGACAAATGCCCACGAAGTGTTTCAGGACCATCCGATCGTCGACCTCGACCACCTCCGGACCGCCAAGAACCTGCGCGAGTACGACGACCGCTTTACCCGTCTCGTATTTGGGTATGTCCTTTCGTCAAAGGCACTCGGTTCGTTTGCCTTTACGCTGAAGCGTGCTGTAGGTACGAGACCGTCAGCGACTTTTACCGTCAAGCGTCGAGCGTGCATTGTTCGTTGGCTCTCCGGAGCCTGCTTGTACTAAGGAGCTCACGTAGACATCAAGCACATTGCGATTCCGACGCTCTTTCTCTCGGCGTACGACGACCCGATTTGCGTCCAGCACGGTATTCCGTACGACGACTGCGCCGCCAACCCCAACGTCCTCCTCGCGGTGACCCACGGCGGCGGGCACTTGGGCTTTTACGAAGGCCCGGACCGCACACCGTGGTCGCCTCAAGTCGTGGCCGAGTATTGCAATGCCGTGTTTCGTCTCGTGCAAAGCGGTGCGCTTCCTGCGGTCGTCGAACTGATGACGGCGTCGGACGATGAGACGGACGACGCAGACCTCGAGATGGAGATGGAGGTGGACGAGGCTAGCGCGACGGCCTCGTCAACATCGACGTCGACGTCCGAGGTGGCGCTCCCCCGCGACGTGCCCACGCGCCAGAAGCTCGTTGAAGACATTACGGACGTGGTCACAGCGACGCTCGACGACGCGGTCGACACGGTCCTCGAGCACGCGAGCGTAGATCACGTGGTGTACGCCGGCGCGGCGGCCTTGGGCTTATACCTCTTTTGGCGGCGCATGTAAAGTGTTATGACAATATTGGGTTGAGAAGTGTTGCATCTTATAAGTTAGCCGCTATTTATAGTCCAATAATCATCAATGTACGCAGAAGCGGCGGTGGACTCATGTCGTGGCAGACGACGACAATGACTGGGCTTGCAGGTCTTGGAGCGCCTTGGTCGCGAGGTCGAGGACCGCAACCGTGTAGAACGTCGTGCGCTGCGTTTGGTTTTGACGCCCCATTGGTGTCGGCGGAAAGCTATCGGGCGTGACAAAGCCGATGACGTCGGCGTCCTTCTTGACGTACTCGACTTCGGCGCGGAAGAGGTTGAGTGGCACTTCGGTGTGCATCATGCGCTTCATGCGACAGCTGACTTCTTTTGGCAGCTTGGCTTCGCGTTGCATGTAGCGCACGGCCCAGCCAACTTCAAGGTTCTCGCCATCTTGCGCCAGTCGCATATCATCCCGCGGACCTTGGCCGCGGGGCGACGACGCCGGCGACACGGTCGGTGTTCGGCCGAGGAAGGACCATAACCACCGCTGCCACTGGTTGTGCTTTGTCGTCGTCTCGGACGTCTTTTGCAGAAGCTGCTGGACTTCGGCGTTTTGTTCGAGCGCCTGCGCGAGCGGCGAGAGGACGCCGACGCGATGGCACACATAGAGCATGTAGTTGGCCATGTTGCGCGCCTGCTGCGGATCCATCGAGAGGAGAACGTAGCGAATGCACTTGAGGAGCGCTTGCTCCATCGTGTCGATGACGGTCGCCTCGAGCGGCTCGGCGTCGGTGGTCGCCGCCGGCTTGGCCTGCTCGGCCTTGGGCCCGCGGTGCAGCGGCGGCAGGAGCGACCGTGGAGCCGGCGCGGGCTCATGGGCGTCGTTCGTCGCGTCGTCGGTGGCCACGCAGACCGGTCGCCGTTTGTGCGTGAGGGACATGGGCAGATTTGTTATCTTGTCGGGCGCTTCCAAAAAAAGTCGCAAGGTGGCATTCTCTGGCATTTTGGCCAATCCGATGCCCGCATGACGGAATTATGGAATGTATCACTTCTCCAAGGTTTTCGAAGTATAAGATCTGAGAGGCATATACTCAATCGAAGAGTCGCGCTGGCTTTTGTGACCCATTGCGTGCCCAACTTCAAGGTCAAAGGGCGCGCCGGTTCCACCCGGCGCCGCAAAGATGGCGCGCGGCCGTCGTGTGTGTGCTAATGTCGATGGAGCATGTTGACCATACATAGACGGCCGCGTTGGGCTCGCGAGACTGTACGAATATGACGAAAAATCACTTCTTATTGCGTTTGCAGTCGCTTGAGTTGGATGGCGACCGTTTCTGTCCAGGCGTCTTGGGTGGTCACGGGCACGTGGGGTTGTAGAGGAGTGTGTGCAGGTGCAGGCGCCGGAGGTCGCAGCCGGGCAAGGCAGAGAAGATATCAGGCTTGAAGGCAGTGACATGCACGCCGAGCTCTGATAACTTGGAGAGGATTTGCAGCATCCGCGCTTCATCCCAGAAGCAGGGCACAATGATGGATGCGATGTGGAGCCGCGAGGATGCATATGTCGTGGAGATGCGCGCGCTGCACCCGAGCGCGCCTTGCACGGTTGCGACCGCGATCGCCGACCACTTGGCGTCGACGGTCGAGGGCGATAGCGACACCAAGAGTTTGCCCGAGCCATAGTTGTACTGTTTCGCAAGCGCGAACACACTGGCCGAGACGATCCGCGCCTGCCGTGTAACGTCGGTCGGCGGTACGTGGGCCAACTCGTCCGACCACGCATCAACAAGCGTCGTCAGCTCGGCCACGCAAGCGCCTTTCTGCTCGTCCGTGAGCAACAGCGCGGGGGCGGGGTACGGTCCGTGGATCGAGATCCAGCGTTTGGTCGCATGCGGGGTTGACGGCCGTACGCGTCGTACAAAGTCGGTGAGGGACTCGTTGGGTGCAATGTGGTGCGTGGACGACGAAGCTTTTTTCGGCGGTGCCTGAGTCCGTGCGAGCAAAATGGCCTCCGCGGGCTGCAGTTCGTCCAGCTTTGTCGCCATCCGCGCCGTTTGTCGAGTGCCCTTCTCGCCGCGCCGTGCCCATGCTAGCGTTCCACGAAAGCTGCGTCTTCGATATCGACGGTTGAGCGACCAACCTTCGAATTTGGACGAAATCGCGCCGAATTGTTCCGCGCGACCGTTGTTCTCGAGACGACGACGGCGGGATGTCGAGAAGCACGCTTGGGTTCCAATCTGTCATCCCCGCGACCAGCACGCGCAGACAGGCGCGGCGGATGCGGAGAACTTGTCGTGTTTATGTCGACACCTGCGTTGAAGGATACTGACGGGCACGTTGCAGCATTACACTGTAGCGCCTCAGCGAGTTGACGTTGCGGCAAGTCGAGATCGCAGAACCCTCGTCAAGCACGTACTGCCATCGCGTGGAAGCCTCGACCTGCATCCGCCTCAAGCGGCATCGAAGTTTGCGATTGGTGGAATCTCAAAAGGCAATATCGTATCAGCGAATCAAAAGGTAGGAAATACGATCCTGAGCGAAAGGTTGCGCCCATCGCGTTCTGGAGCATGCTCATCAAACCATTAACGAGGTGGCCTCGCAAGCACAAAGTATGAGCACTCGATGCAAGGTACTACCTGCATCCCAGCGCCAACGATGATCACGAAGCGCAAGTATGTGGGCGCGGCCTCGGCTCACACGGCGTCATACCAGCAACCATGACGAAAACGTCAACGCTCACACTTGTCTTTACTGCGCCATCCTATATCGCACTCACTGCGTCAACATGCTTCAACTCGCACGGAGATTGCGACCGACGCGCTTCTGCAAGTCGCTGACAAATAAATCTTGAAGATTCTTACCAACGTTAGTAGATGAACTCTCTCCATTGCATTCCTTGACTCGTGCCCAAGAAATAAGAATGCACTATCCCATGGTGCTGTCCACAATCACATGCGAGATCCTTTCGCCCTGTAGTTTCTCGTCTTGGGCTCGATGGCGGGCGAGCGGAAGTCCACCGACCCTTCAAGAGTGCATCATTTAAACATTAAATAAAGCAGGTATCGTTATCATGTACTCTCTTCCTGCCATCTCCGTGCACTGTAGATATAGGTCGCCACCGCAGTCCGTCGCCGTGTAGAAATGCGCAGCCTCGCCTCTTGGAGCCAATGTAATGCTCGGCCTCGATAGTAGATCTTATTGGACGGCAATTTCTCTTGAAGTTTATAAGGTCAAGTTTGCACCTCTGCGATGTTCTTGTATCGAGGCTCGATTTTGGGCAGTCACAATCAAGGAAGAGACAGCAAGCAGCATGTCGACGTCGTACTCGGCGTCGTCCAAGCTCAGCGCGATCGAGCTCGCGCAGGCTGGCGACTGGAAGGCCCTCGAGATGAAGATCGAGATGGACCCGGATCACGCCATGGAGACGGACCTCCAGGGCAACCTGCCGCTGCACTGGGCCTGCTGCGACCCGGCGATCCCGCTTGTCGTGCTCGAGAAGCTCGTGTACGCGTACCCGGACGCGCTCTGGGTCCGCAGCCACGAGAAGCACCTCCCGCTCGAGCTTGCTTTGGCCGACGACCACACGCTACCCGATTCACATGTTGAGTTTCTCCAGATCTACTCGCCCATGCCCGAGAGCGAGCCGACGGACGACCTCATTGCCAGCATGTACCCGTACAACACAATGAGCCAGGAGAATATCCAACGCGCGTTCCTTGGTCGCAGCACGAGCTTTGTGGGTGAGCACGCGATCGCTGACGACTTTAGTGACAACCTCCCGGAACTCATGAGCAAGCTCCAGCGGCTCCTCGGCTCCATGGAAGCGCACTCGCACATCTACAGCGAGCTCAACAGCGGGCGCCTCTGCTTCCAGCAGTTTCCGAGCGAGACCGAGGCCTCGGACGACTTTGACAACGTGGATTTGCGCGGCTCGGGGTGCGACTATTATGTCATCTGGAAGCGCGGCGAGCTTGGCATTCGGCTCAAGCAATCGACAACGCAGGCCAAGACGGGCGGCTGTCGCATCGAGCGCATTACGCAAGGGAAGGGCGTTGCGACTGGCATCATGATGGCACGCCTCGGCGACCTCTTGGTCTCGGTCAACAACGAGACTGTCGAGAAGAGCCCATTCAGCCGCATCGTGCAACTCATCCAGCAAGCGCCCAAGCCCGTGCAGCTGGGGTTCCGCACGCCGACCAAGCTCGACGACGACGTCAAGCGGCTCGAGGCAGATCGTCGCACGTCATCCGAGTGGACGCGCGCTAGTACGCTCGGCATGCCACCGTCGTCACTGAGCAGCGGGTTCGAGCCCGTGAGCAATGACCGGTCGCTGGACGAGTGGAGCGAGACGCAGGCTTCTGTGCACAACGAAGCCCTCATGCTGCTGACCGACACGCTTGCGCGCTGCGAGCTGCTCCGAGACGAGGTTGCGGCGCAGCAGGACGAGCGCCATTAAATAATAGGACTATCTATCACCCGCCGCTACGCTATCCGAGGATCTCATCTACTACACATCGACACACAAGGTTACATTTTGGACTGGCGCACGTCGTCGAGCGGCGCCCAGGGCTTTTGCTCGCGCCGCTGGTTCCAGTTCAAGTTGACCTTGACCGACTCGAACCAGTCTTCATTCTCGTTGAGGCGGCACACGGACGGCAGCGGGTACGACGACACGCGCACGTACAGCGCGTCGCCCTTCCCCAGTCGCAGCCGCGTCTTGCCGTCAAACGACACGTTGACCTATGTTCATCCCGCAGATGAGTCGTCAAGGACCGTCCTGACACGCCGTACGCTGGAGGTGCGCGCTGTGAAAGGAAGTACGATCTTGAGCGTTGCGCTGTCGTGGAAGAGAAGCGGCCGGAACGAGAGCGAGTGCGGGCAGATCGGTGTCAGCAGCATGCACGGCACACTATTGGACAAGTTGTCGTCAGTTGGCAAGACACCATTTTCAAGCGTTGGTCGGACCTGGGATGGGTCATGCTCCCGCCGGCCGAGAGCGAGTAGGCGGTCGAGCCAGTGGGCGACGCAATGATGATGCCATCGGCGCTGATCTTGGTGAGTTCGACGCCGTCGCAGAAGCAGTCGAGGTCGACCATGGCAGACGACGGGCCGCGGTCGATCACGACTTCGTTCAAAGCATGAATCGGCATCTGGACCTCTTCGACGACGCCGGGCTTGGCACGCAAGACGGTACACTGCAGGCGCTGTCGCAGCGAGAGATAGAACCCGCCCCGGATCAAGTGCTTGAGGTGCTCTACGCGCAAATCACGAGGTGTGAGATGTTGAAACGCCATGGTTATAGACCTTCGCGCTGGGAAATGTCAAAGGGCGTGAGGAAGCCGAGCGACCCCATCGCAAACGAAATCACGGGCGGGACGCTCATGTGGAAGAGCGACGAGACCCAGAGCACGGTGCCATCGCCGCCCAGCGAGACGACAAAGTCGATTTCGTTTTGCTTGAGAAGCCAGTCGTATGTCGTCATCCACGTGTGCGCTTGCGGGAGATCCTTGGCGACCGCTGCGTGCACGACAGGCTCGAGGAAGACGCGCATGCCCTTCTCATGCATGAGCCATTTGGCGACCGCGAGCATGGTCTCGGTAATGGCGGCGTCGTTGGGCTTTTTCACGAGGAGCACGGTCGTTGGCGGCGTGTCCCACATCATTTGCACGTTGTTCTTGGCGCGGTGCTGCGTGCGAATGTTGCGGTGCTGCGCCGTAAAGACTTCGCACTCTTCGTCGCTGCACTGGAGAAGCCGGAACGGCGCGCGCTTGTCCCAGCCTGGCACACCGTCGTCCTTCTCGAGGTCGCTGAGGCTCTCGTCGCTGCCACGCGAGATCGTGTCGGCAATCACGCGCAGCTCCGAGTTGGAGCGCGGGCGCCGAATCGAGTTGTGAAAGTCGTCGTCGATGCCAGAGCTTTTCCGGAACCAATATTCCTTCTCGTCCCGGGCTTCCTTGAGCTGGTTCTCAAGCTCTAGCACGCGCTTCTGCAGCGCGGCCATCGGCGACGTCGGCAGCATGTGCTGGTTCTTCTCGCGCTCGACAAAAGCGAGCACGCGCTGGAGGCTCTCGGCGGCTTGGCGGATGTCGTCCATGGGTGGAACGGCCACGGAACGAATTCGCGAGTGCTGCCACTGCAAGCTTGCGACGGAAGCTCCCAATTCTGTCTCAAATGATGGGTGAAATATCATGTGTATCTCAACTCGACCATTACACATCCGTGCGAACTCGCGACTTGGCGCTGACGACGGACAATGACGCTGTGCACCCATGCGTATCCATCGCGTCGATTTCGTCGGGCGTCACTGGCGTGGCACGCCCTCGTGGTTATCCCACAACCTGTGAAATATTTGATATTTGAAATGTTGAAATGTGAAAATGCAATCGGGAAATATGAGCTTGCGTCTCGACCGACGAGACACAAAGAAGACCCGATGGCACGAGGCAGTGATGCAAAGAGGCTTGACGCAGGATAGATACGTCGTCCGTGGGCGTTTTCGAGAAGGTCCGTCCGCCCGGCGATTTGGGCAAATACGGGGAAGTGCATCGACCTACGCCAGCGCATACGATTGGTGGCTTTCTGAACTTTGCGCTCGCATGCAGCCAATCAACAGCCCAACAAATTTGAACCTTCGCCGGTGTACGGAGGCGCGTCCGGACATTACGCGAGCGTTCGATCGTGTCGGTCGAGGAACATCGCACGCGGATCTTCAGGAATCTGACTCGAATCTCTCCGTTTCGCGCCTCATCACAGCCCCTATCATCAGCTCGTTGTTGCTCTCGGCTCGTTTGTCCACCAACGACTACCAAGAAACAGCAACCTCGATTCAGTGCATGGTGGAACGAAGCGTCCAGTTGTTGGTCGCCGATGACGCGATCTGTTCATGTCCATCGAGTCGCGTCAGTTTACGGCACATGGCTGTCGGCGGCAGCCCCGAGGACAGCAGCGCGTTGGTGTCGGTGGCGGGCCAGCGCGCCACGCCATTGTTTCTGCACCGTGACGACAGCGTACAGATGCTCCGTTTCAATGCTCGCGAGCACCTTGTCGAGGCATGCGATGTGCCACACCTCGAGCTGCTTGGTGTAATACCCTATTGCAATCGCGCAGGCCGTCGCGGCCTCGGGCGTCGCATAGCTGAATGTACGCAACGTCGTTGGGATCCCGGATTGGGGCACAAACTCGAGCAGGCACGCGCGTTTCGTCGTGTCCCAGAGCTTGACGCTGCGGTCCATCCCGAGCGTACACAGGACAAAGTTGCCAATGTACTGCATGTGCTCGATCGGGCCAAAGTGGCCCCGCGTGTGCCAATTCCGGTGCCGCGTCTCCACATTGAAGACGCTAAGAAAGCCGTGTTGCACGCCCTGCTCGCCGATCGCGAGCTCGTAGCCGTAGGCGGGCATCGCTAGCGCCGAAACGCGGTACCGCGTCCGAATCGTGGTTTTTGCATACGTCGAGGCGAGTACTTTGAAAAGGTCCACCGACGCCACGTGCTCGTACGCAGCGGCCACATACGGCAGCGCGGCACTGGTCGCGACCGCCTTGATGCGCGCTTTGCCGGGAGCCGCAATCACGTACGTAGCTAAGAGGAGCGGCAATAGCACCTCGTCTTGATTCGTTTGCCCGAGACGGTACAGCTGCAGGCTGCTGGCTTTGTCGGACAACAGCAACCACGTCTTGTTGGCAAAGAAGGACACGCATGCCATCTTGGCGAGCGACGTCGCGTGGCGTTCGGTGCGGACGACGTGCACGACCGATGTCACGCTGGCGCGCCGGTTGGCTGCGCGCTTGAACGATGCCGCTTTTTGATCGGCGACGACGCTCATGCGCCGTGCCGACGGCACTTCCTTGAGCAGGGCTGGCGATGGCTCGAGGACTGGAGTTGGCGGCGGTGGCAGCCGAATTTGTGTGCGCCACACATGGAGCGAACCGTTGGCGAGTCCGAGTAAAAGCGTGTCGCGATCGCTTGCGAGCACGAGACTCTTGTCGCTGCAAGACGGTGCATTCTCGGTCGGTACGACCGCCAGCGTCGTTTTGTGCCGAAACTCGACACCTCGCGCCGCCAAGACGACCAAGTACTCGGTCGTCGCCTCGTCCACGCACACGTCGTGCGGAATACACGGTACCGTTGCGCGGCGGAGTAGCGTTGGCTGGAGCTGGGCTACGCGGAGCATTTAGAATGGACGAGGCTGGTTCACGTACCGATCGCGAGCGTGCAGATGTCACTCACCATACAGCCGTCGTCGTTGGTGCAAATGCACGCATATTGCCCGCACATGGCTTTGGTGAAGAACGAGATGCGAAGGAACGCGCTTCGCGAGCCGCGCATGCCTGGGGTGTCGTCTGGCAGCGGTATGCCGTTGAAGGTCCACTGATACATCTCGGTGCGCGAAGCGACGATGCTCAAGAAGGCCTGGCGGCCCGATACGAGCAGCATCTCGCGAGGGGGTTGCCGAACAATGATGGGCTCATAGACTAGATGTCCACAGAATATAGACAATAGTTTCCAACTGAGACATGTACTCTGGTTGGGGTCGAGGCCGCGCGCCGCTTTTTTAGCTCGCTTGAGCGCCATGTCGCGGCGCTCTTGTGCGAGCGCCTCGAGCTTTTTGGCGTCGGCCACACGCTGCGCTTCGGCTTCGATCGCTTCGTTCGCAGCGTCGACTTCTTCTTGGCGAATGCGCGCGTCGTCTACATGTGTACTAGCAACGATTCTGCAGAAAGGATGACGCCAGTATTACCGAGCTCAAACGTATTGAAGGGCGAGAAGAGATGGCGCAGCTGAACGACACCGTCGTGGAGAGCATCGTCGCCGCCGCAGTGCTCTTGCATCGCGCGAATGCTCTTGAGAACGCCTTCGAGTGAGTTGGCAAACCCATACCTACGCGCATGTAGTCGTCTCCTTCATGCAGACGCGGATCGCAACTGCGCAATGACGGCGCCAACAATGCTCAGGGCAAGTGGAATATACGTCTATAAAAGATGTTCGGAACCCGATATTCGACAGAGTACAGCGATTACCTGGACGACGAGAAGGAGCTGGTTCCGCGCTAGTGCTGGGTGCTTAGCCTTGAACGGCAAGACGCGACTACCTTGTACTTTGGCGTTGGCCAAGAGACTTTTGTTGTGGGGAAGCTCAAAGGCCGCAAGTATTTCCCGCAGCATTTCTAGGTGCCGCATGAATTCTTTCGTTGGAGATGGCATTTAGGACGGACCGTTCGCAGCGTCCTTGGAGAGGCGCTCGAGCTCGCTGATCTTGTCGCAAGGTCGTGGTCGGTAGTAGACGTTGGCTGTCGTCGTCCGGCACATGCGACAGTACACGTGCTGCTGCGCGACAAGGAGAATCGTTTGCCTGCTGTGGCAAACCGTGCATTCGTGGTCGTAGTTGCGAGCCTACGTGCCAAGTGTACGGAGATAGCAGCCGACAGGGTTGCCGTACGTGCGCGTCGAGCATCTTCTCGGCCCATGCTACGTCGCGCAGGAGCGCGTCTTTCAGCGGGCGGGGATCCACTGGCTCCTCGCTGTCGCCCATCGGTCGCGTTGCCTTTTCTACCGTTTCATTGTTGATATCTTGAAAGATATCCGTCCCACAGCCGCAGTACAAGTCGATGGAAATGCCCAGAAAACTGAGGCCCGTCTCTCGTTGCCCAAAGCCAGCAGCTTTGAGCCTCTACTACGCTTCGACACCTTTGTTCGTGCAGCCGGGCAACGGAGCAGCATTGAAGAACCCATGATGATCCGACAAAGTTGGAGCTTGTGGGAGTGACCCGACAAATTACCATCATTGCTGCTGAGAAAGTACAGTAGGGCTGTAGTTTAGATTATGAAAGTACCAGTGGACATTATTGACTAGTGAAAATTACGTATTAGCAAATAGAGACAGCATGACGATATCTAGAGCACTGGCGTCTCGGCGTTGTGCTGGATCTCCATCGGGCACCCGTCCTTGAAGCTGTTTTGCTTGCGGACCTTTTTGACAATGAGCACGGCCAAGGCGACGGCCGCAACCGCAGCGACAGTCCCGCCAGCGATAAAGTAACCGGTGTAATCACCCGGCGACAGATCCGTCGATGCGGCAACCGCCATCTTGACTGTTGTGGACGAGTTGCTTGGCGACGCCGTTGGCACGCCCCCCGGGAGCATGCACCCCCACACACCGTCCTTCATTTGCTCGCACACGGCATCGACCGTCAAGATGCACTGGCCGTTCGAGTAGCTCGGAATGCCGCCGACGCAGTCTTGGCCAGCCACGTCGCCCTTCTTGGGGCAGTTCTTACCCGCAGGGTAGTCGTGCGCGCCGACACAAATCGGGCCTGGGATGCAGTAGGTTGCATCGCCCATCACACTGATCTTGACGCAGTCCGTGTTGGGCGGGCTCGTCGGAATGCTTCCATTCGACGGGCGAGGTGTGGGGTGGGACGACGGGCTTGGGGACGGCTCATCGGTTGGGTCATCAGAGGGGTCCTCTGAGGGGTCTTCCGTGGGGTCCTCAGAGGGGTCTTCCGTGGGGTTGCTGCTGGGCGATGGTTTGGGCGAAGGAGCCGGAGACGGCTTGGGAGACGGTGTCGGGGACGGAGCCGGCGACGGGTTAGGCGATGGCACAGGCGAGGGGTACGGCGATGGGTTGGGTGATGGCGCAGACGTCGGCGAGGTCGGGCACTTGAGCGCCGCTAGCTGCGCCGAGGAGAATGTGTTTTTATGACCTGGCGACGTGGCCGAACTCGAGTGGGGCGTCGAGCCTTGCGTCCACTTGCAGCACGGGTCCCCGAGCTCTTCGCCATTCGTGGCGCCGTCGCCATCGGAATCCAATTGGCACAGCACTGGCGACCACGTGCTCCCACCCGAGCTAAAGTCGAGACCGAACTGGTTGTTGGCGCCACCGCCTTTGACGTTGGTGTGGCCAATCGCGGCGACACCCGGCACTTTGTCGCCGTTGGGCAGAAGCGCCGCAAACTTGGCGTAGCCGTCGACAATGACCGTGGTGGCGGCGAGGGCCGCAGCGATCGTCGGCAGCGTGCGGGACACCATGGCAGTTGTAAAGTGAGACCTCTGCCGCATTGCGCGCGAACCGTGTCTTGCCAATTCGAACGCATCGAATGTGCCACCTGGTTATGCGCTTCAGTCTGGTGGCCGACTTTGGACGCTATTCCAGGCACTTTTGGCTACACTAGGACCGAAAACAGGACTTTGCCGATTCACACGGCACCAAGGAACGTTCGTCGACGCCAGGGACAACGTTTGTAATGCGCGCTGCCTTGACCAAAAGGGCAAGGGCAATCTCCGACAGCACTGTTGAGGCCAACGACTGGCAGCGTCAGGCAGAACAAGAACCTGCAGAGCAGAACCTGCCGACGTTGTTCGATGGGATCGGGCCCCAAGTATCTCATTCTACTCGGTGTACAAGCCTGCCTGTCTAGTGGTTGCATGGGCGAGTTTTCCTAATATACGTGAGCACGGAAACAGTATGTGCGAATGGAGCTGCTGATGGAGCGTCGTTGCGAACCAGGCGGTGCTCAAGCGGTAGTAGCGGCTTGGCGTTGACCATGGCGTTGGCACGCAATCAAGACGCTGCACCAACCGTGGGCAGTTGACGACGCCATTGGCCGATGTTAACCGGTAGGACGGTGCTAATTTTATAGCGTTTGCCACGTCATGGTCGACGGAGAAGATACTTGTCATCATCTCGCTACATGAACACGTCGTCCGTTGCGCGGTATATCGCTGCGGTGCTGTCGTATTTTCGGTGGGCTATCGCCGCAGCCGTCGCTTGGGTCTTGAGCGCGCGCCACGCGGCCAATGCCGCCGAGACCCCCGACCACTGTGTTGCCCGTGTATCGCTGCTCCAAAGCAATGGCGTCGGTCGCTCGTCCGATTCGATTGTTGTGGACGAGATCGACGACTCGGAAGATACGCTGGCCGGGAATCAGGAGGAAGACGTTCTGGAATTGGCCCCACGTTCCATCCACGACCACTGCGTCGTGCCTGTCAAGGAAGCAAGCGACGACCGGAAGAGCGTCGAAGACCCAGCGATGACACCCGAGACCAGCGATGACGTCTTGCAGTACATTGAAAGCTACATGACGTGGCTCAACACGCGCCGAGCGTCGATCAAACCACTCCCATCGGCTCCGAACGATGAATTCCTTGCGTGGTTGAGCCAGAACGAGGAAGCCGAGATGACGTCCTCGAGCAACCAAGAGGAACATCTTAGCGACGTGCCGCTCGAGCCCAAGCAAGCCCCAAAGCCAAGCTACCGCGTGTTTCGACGCTTGTATATTCGCTCGAAATATTAACAAATCACATTGCATATGTATCGCATTTGTACAATACGTCCTCCGTTGAACGGCAAGCAATATTACATGTATTGGCATCAGTGTGAAGTGCCATCCATAACTTGACGTCCGCCGTGGCTAGGGCTACCATGGTACTGACCGGAGGGACTAAGATCTTGATTGTCCCGAGCTATCTTATGCGGTGTGCGTGCTGGGAATACAGAATATATGGGACGAGGCGCACAAGGGCCAAGTGACCAAAACCCCGACTGCTTGGATCACTCCGGATTTCAGCACAAGACCGATGACCTCTCACATTGCATATTGTATACTATCAAAAGTGGAAGAGTCGAATTCGAGAATGAAGGTCGTGTCATGGCCAGCCAACCTCATCAACAAACAACCTCTGCGCAAGGATGTCGACGAGCCGTGTCTTGGATGTGCTCTTGGACCACGGGCTGTACCTGCTCATCAACGCCTTCAACGACGGCCTCGCCTTCAAGCACTGGCGCAGCGCCGACCACGCGGCGTACAACGGCCATCTCTACATCCTCCAGACGCGCATGCAGGAAGGGCTCGAGCTCGCGTGCACGACGAATGCGATGGATTGGGCTGCGTGCAATGGTCACATGGAGCTGCTCAAGTGGCTTCACAACAACCACGACCGCGGCTGTACGTACCGCGCGATGGACTGGGCCGCCAACCACGGTCGCCTCGAGATCGTCCAGTGGCTCCATGAACAGCGCGACGAGGGCTGCAGTCCGAGTGCCATCGACAACGCCGCGTCCGGTGGTCACCTAGAGACGGTCGCGTGGCTCCTCGCGAACCGAAGTGAAGGCTGCACGATCCATGCGATGGATAGTGCGGCGCGCCACGGGCAGTTGGCCATGCTCGAGTACCTCCATCAACACACGGAGAACGGGTGGACCGACATGGCAATGAACTGGGCCGCCGAGTACGGCCACCTTCCTGTCGTGCAATGGCTTCATATGCACGCACCCGAGAACAAGTTGCGCCTCGCGTCTGCCGCCGCGTCTGCCGCCGCCTCCGAGAAGACCAAGGTGCTCGACGACCTCTTTGGCGGCGACGAAGAGTACGAGCCCTTTGACGATGCCTTTGTCACTGACATGCCGCAAATCCCCGACCTCGAATTCATTGACGAAGAGTCGTTTGACCGCTCCCACCTTGAAAACGACGTGCTCGAGTCCGACTTGGAGCTGCGGCCGCTCGACCTCGCCGCGTCCCACGGCCACCTGGACGTGGTCGTGTGGCTGTCCGAGATGGGGTATCCGTGCACGACGTACGCCATGGATAAGGCCATCGGCAACGGTCATTTTGACGTCTTCCAGTGGCTCGAGGCCCACCGCTCCGAGGGCTGCACGACGTGGGCGATGGACTTGGCCGCCGAGGCGGGTCGTCTCGAGGTAACGCAGCCCACGCGTCTCGTCCTCCTATCTTATCTTTGATTCGTATCTAGCTCGTCGAGTACCTCCAAAGGCACCGTCGCGAAGGCTGCAGCTCCGACGCCATGGACCACGCCGCGCGTCGCGGTCACTTGGACGTTGTCCAATTTTTGCACTTTGAGCGCGCCGAAGGCTGCACAACGCTCGCGATTGACGGTGCGGCGGAGAATGGCCACTTGGATGTGGTGCAGTTTCTACATACGCACCGGACCGAAGGGTGCTCGACCGAGGCCACCGACAAGGCAGCGGCCAACGGACACTTGGACGTGGTCCACTGGCTCCACTTTCACATGGGCGCGCCGTGCACGACGTATGCAATGGACGCGGCGGCAGAGCAAGGCCATTTGGCCGTGGTGCGCTGGCTGCATGAAAACCGACCGGAAGGCTGTACGACGGAAGCGATGGACTCGGCGGCGATGAAAGGTCATTTGGAGGTCGTTCAATGGCTCCACGAACAGCGGCACGAGGGCTGCACGACCCACGCCATGGACGGTGCCGCTGAAAACGGCCATCTCGAGGTACGATCGCTTCTTTTGAAGTGGGCAGTGTATCAAGTTGATACTAGGTCGTGGAGTGGCTGCACTGGAATCGCATCGAAGGCTGTACAACCAACGCCATGGACAAGGCCGCGCGCAACGGCCACTTGGAAGTGGTTCAGTTCCTGCACGCGCATCGCAGCGAAGGTACGGCTATGCAATGTCAGAGAGTGTGGCAAATGCCGTCGAATTAGGGTGTACGCACCATGCGATTGACCGCGCCGCCGGCAACGGGTACCTCGCGACGTGCATGTGGCTCGTCGAGAACCGCAGCGAAGGCTTCACCGAAGCCGCGCTTGAGCAAGCCGACGAGTACGGCTACGGCAACGTCGTGCAGTACCTCTTGTCGCTCGACGATCATGCCGACGACGACGAGAGTGGAGACGAATAGAGATACATGCGCAGTGACATTCAATATAGCGAAAAGCAACGTCTTAATATGTCTGGCATCGCATCCGCAAGGCCGCATCTATGGTTGATTCAACGGCCCCCATCGTAGCACAGACAGCGGTGTTTGGGGCTAAACGTATAACTTGCCGCTATCTGCAGAGGGTCTCAGTCGCAAATGAAAGCATCATCTTCGTTGACAAGAAGGCGAGTTAACCATTTAAGCAGTGTACGTTGGAAGCGGCTACGACGCTCGGATGGCAAGCATTTGTTGGATGTTTTCGATTTGGGTCTATCAAATGATGAGTTTGCTGATGAATGGTGCAGGCAAGTCGACTCGATGAAGACCAAGGAGACGAGCAAGTTCCAGGTCCGAGAGTCCGTCCATGTTGCCGCCCGTGAGCTCCTGAATGCTACGCACTACGTTCGACAATGAAACCCATTTTGGGTGCATACGTGGCCTCTTTGGCTTGGAGCTGCAGTACATGCGCCCGCTCGAGCCTCCGGCGCTCATGCACCCTGGCAACTGCAAACTCCTACCATAGCTTGTACCGCGTTGGTGGAGGTGGCACGATTTGTACCAGGCAAGTAAAGAGCCACGCAGAGAGAATACACGCCACATACGCCATTGCAATATCCTTCCAGGCCACGAGTCGTCCATGCAAGCTCACGTCGGCGCCCCTGGAGCACCTATGTCATATTTGTCCCAGAGCCAATCAGAACACTAGCGTCCTACCAGGTCGCATTCACCGCGACGGAGACTTGCGCGATAAGAGGTGATGCTGCCACGACGAGTGCCATCGCGAGGCTGTAGCAGACGAGGATACCGCCAAGCTACACCCAGCGTTTGTAACCAAAACAAATGCGCAAGTACGGACCAAAAGCACACGCCAGCTCCACGAGAAGCGCGGCGCCTCGGCCAAGAAGGCAGACCCTTTCTGCATCGCCCCGATCAAGCTCACAGTAGAGTGGACTGTCAAGGCACCCTTCACAAACGAGTCATATAAAGTAGAGCCCATCTCGTCCAAAGGATATCTGGAGGCGACGAAGAAGAGGCGCCGGGCTTCGTTGACGGTCGTGCCAAGTGCGCATATGGCAGCAACATCGTGGGCGCTCACAACGTACCAGAGACCTGCACCGCCAAGGAGCCCTTGCACAAGTACATAAATGATCTGCTCCGCCGCCTTCAAATTCGCAACTGCCGTCTCGAAGAGCGCATGGGGATCGGCACTCTCGTGTTTGTCGTTCGTCTCGTCGTCGTTGTCATCACGGGGTAAAAGCCGGGCCTAATCGAGTCCAATCAACATGCATTGAGAAAGGATCAGCGTCTACCAGATCGTCGTTGGCCTCGAAGCGGTGCCCGTGGGAACGTCGAAGTGGGAGAAACATGCCAGTGGTCAGTCCTTCGACAAAGATGCGCACGGGGCCGCTGCTTTCGAGCACGCGTGCGCTGCCGTCCAGGAGATCGACGGCGAGGTACGGGCCTGGCCGAGGCATTGGCATTGGTGTTGCGTCATTCTCAATGTCGGACACTGCAATGTGAAGCGGGGTCGATGCAGAATGTAACTTTTTCGCTGGAGTTGCCGTTCAACCGACGACAGTGTTGGTATGAACACGTACCGTCACTGGTCGGTCGCGGCTGCAATCGACGTGGTCGCTGGTGGGTCGGTAGAACACTACTGTGCTCTGTGGCGGCGATGTCGGCCGGTGTATCGATAATCGGTGACTCGGTGGGTAACAGCGGAGTGCTATCCGAGGGCCCCTTCACCTCAGGCTCAGGCTCGCCACGCGGCAGTTCGAGATCGCCACTCGAGACCATGTTAGGAATGGTGTCTGGTGCGAGCGCCACGTCATCGCTTGCCTCTGCTGCGTCCGACGCAGGGAGCCCCTCCGACACAGAGGGATTGGGTACAGGAGCCTTTACACCGGCGACGACGTCGGGCAGCGACTCGTCTGGGCTGGTTCTGGTTGCAAGTTCGGTCGTGGATGGCAACGGAACACTGTCTGCTGCTTTTTCGGAGCTTGGGTTCTCGGACGCGAGGGATTCAACGCTTGACGACGCCGCAGGGTCGACCGACTTGGCCTCCGCCGCCGCTGGCGTCAACGGCACGGGTTTCCCTGCCTTGACGCTCTTTGCTGCCTTTTTCCTTTTCTTCTTGGCGGGGCTCTCGGACGAAGCCACTGGTTTGGGCTCGGCCGACGCATGCAGTGGATCCAGGATGACGGTCTCGCCTTCGTTGGGGGTGCGTGGCGCGTCGGCTGTCGCTGCACGTAGGCTATCGGCTGCTGCTGCCTTGGGCTCCTTTGCCTTGGGTTTTGCCACGGCTGTTTTTTTGGGCGCACGCTTCTTCAGTGGGGGCGTCTCGGTCGCCTGCGCGCTGGGTGGCGCGTCCCCGTCCATAGGCCTGCAACTGCTATACGATGTCGATACCACCGTGCCAAGTCATCCCCTTCCACACTCAATATTTCTAACTGGTTCAAAAATCATTTACCAGACTGTGAGAATTTGTAGACACTAATACCCTGTGATAATGCATATTGAAAGCCCTTGACGCGCCAGCCGTTTCGCGCTTACTTGGTGTTTGTAAACCGTCCCAGAGTGCGAAAATAGCGAAAAATAATAAAAATATTAAAGAAAAATAATGATGATGGCATAAAACCCATCTGTTGCCAACGAGGATGGAGGCGTCGTCGACCTGCGCGACCCGCGTCGTGGTCCGCGTGCGCCCGATGAGCGAGAAGGAGCGGGCGAGCGGCCAGAGCCCCGTCGTGGCGCTCAAGGGCAGCTCTGTCCAGCTGCGCGCCGGCCGCCACGACAACCCGCTCGCCGAGCTGCTGCCGCCGCGCGTGTTCCAGTTTGACCGGTGCTTTGGCGACGCGCCCGAGAAGGAGGCTGTCCAAGCCGCCATCTTTCGCGAGGTGGGCATGGATCTCATTGAGAATGCGTTCAACGGCTTCAATTGCAGCGTCTTCGCCTATGGCCAGGTACATACACGTGGCTCGTCGTGGCGTGACTGCATGGGTCCTGTAGACGGGCAGTGGCAAGACGTACACCATGGTCGGCGACAAGTCGGAGCACGGCAAAGGCTTGATCCCGCGCATTTGCGAAGCGCTCTTTGAGCAGATCGAAGCGCGACGCACGAAAGAGGCGGAGAACAACACGACCGAAAAGACCATCTACTCGGTCCAGGTACGACGCGTGGCAGCATGCAACGACGACAACGCGATCTCTGGCAGGTCAACTATTGCGAGATTTACAAAGAAAAGGTCAAGGACCTCTTGGACGACACTCGTGCTCGCTCGCAGCCGACGTCACCGACCTCGTACGCGGAATCGGACGCCCGACCGCTCAAGATCCGCGAGCACCCGGTGCACGGTCCGTTTGTTGAAGGCCTCACGATACGCTCGGTGGGCTCGTACGCCGAGGTTTGCGCAGTCGACTCGTGAGAACTGTTGTTGCTCATGCTTCCTCGTAGATCCAAGACGAACTGCTCGTGGGCCAGAAGCTGCGCACTGTGGCCGCGACGCTCATGAACCCGACGTCATCGCGGTCGCATGCGATCTTTACGATCCTGTTTACCCAAGTACGTTGCCCATAAATGTGTAGTCGAACTCAATCGCTGCCGCTGTAGACGCGGGTGGACCCGATCACGCTCTGTGGTCACGACAAGGTTGCTGTTTTGCTTGAAATGGGGTTTTCTAATCGCTGGCTGTAGACATCCAAGATCTGCCTCGTGGACTTGGCGGGCTCCGAGCGCAGCGACACGTCCGGGACGTCCGGGGAGCGATTGAAAGAAGCATCGATGATCAACCGCAGTCTCTCGACGCTCGGGCGCGTCATTTCGTCTCTGAGCTCGAACGAGCGCATTCCGTACCGCGACAGCACGCTCACGTGGCTTTTGAAAGAGTCTCTTGGTGGCAACGCCAAGGTGCGTCGCTATGTGACACTATAGCCAAGCTCATGCACCACAACGCAGACGACGATGCTAGCGATGGTGAGCCCGTCCTCCGACAACTACGAAGAGACGCTGAGCACGTTACGGTACGCCGAGTCGGCCAAGAAGATCATCAACCGTGTCGTTGTCAACGAAGACAAGAACGCGGCGATTATTCGCCAGCTCCGGCAAGAGATTGCAGACCTTCGTGCGCAGCTCGAGAAGCTGCCGCGTCGCCGCAGCTCCGAGGCGAGTGCGGGCCTCTTTGCGTCGCTTGCCGAGCGCGAAGGCATGTTGTTGCAGCTCCAAAAGTCCCTCCATGATACGCAAAAGATCGTGCTGCAAGGCCAACACCCGAGCTTGATCAACCTCCAAGAAGACCTCGCAGAGAACGAACCGTTGGCGTGCACGCTCTTTCCTGGATTGACGTTGCTCGGGAGCGAGCCACCAACGACGCCCGAGGCGTGGCAGGAGGCCGCACCGGCGTTTCTCGGCCGCAGCGTACGTGTCCATTGCTGAGTTAACCCAACTGCACGTATAAATCTTATCGCGTAGAGCCCGGAGGACGCGACGACGTGGCCGATTTCACCGTTGAAATTGGAAGTCGACGCCAACCAACTCCTTCCACTACACGCCAAGCTGCTCAACGACAATGGTTTCCTGACGATCGAGCCGCACCCCTCGGCCGACGTCTTTGTCAACGGTAGCTTCCCTGTGTTGCACGCTGTTGCTCACAGTGTGGGCATTCTAGGGGACCGCATCTCGAGCTTTACGCCGCTCAAGCACCGCGATCGTGTGCACTTTGGCCGCGCCCACGAGTACCGCATTCATGGTACGCACACAGCGTGGCGCAGGCGATATCATGTGCTGACGCTGCATGCGTAGTGCCCCTGGAAGCGGTCTTTCGGCGTAGCCCGCGCTCGCCCGAGAAGGACAACCAGATCGACTTGAGCGGCCCAGAAGAATGTATCGAGGTCGACGAGACCCACGAAGAAGAGAAAGAGGAGGACGACGTCGAAGCGCCAGCAGAGTCGGGCGAAGCGCCTGTCGACGAGCTCCTGACGCTGCAGCTGCAAGCGGCACGCGTCAACCAGCTGTGCGATGAGCTGAATTTAGCATATCGCTTGGACGTCGAGACCGCGAATGTCGTTCGACTCACCACGTCGGATGGCAAGCCCACCGAGGTGACGTGGGATGCCGCCACGTTTGATGCGAGAACCAAGCTGCTCGAGCAACGCGCCCTCGGCGACACGTCGATCACCGACGCAAGCCTCTTTGTCGGTCTTGTGGCGGCGCCGCTTGAAAGCAAGCCGATGGCGCTGCCGCTCCCGAAGGAGGTCGCCATCGAGAAGCCCGATCCGTTCGCCGAGCCTCGGTCAGCGTCCGGCGTCCGGCTCTTGGGCCACGCGCGGGTCTTTCTCGGGTACGGTGTCTCGAGAGGCCTCACGAGCGCGCACACCAAGATGCTCAAGGGCATGGCACGGTCGATTGCCGTGTACAACTCGGACGGCGTCCACGTCGCTTCGATTGCGATCGACCTGCTTTATGAACTCAGCAAAAGCAATGTGTCGAGCGGTCTTTTGAAAACGGCTGCGACGACGACGCTCGACATCAAGGTCCACCTCCAAGCCATTACGTTTGTGTCGGGTGTCGTGGCTTCGGATGGCGTCTACGCGACCTATCGGCTGTGGAACCAGCCCGGCAGCAGGTACTACACGTGCACTGCTGGCAACACTCGGAACGAACTCTACAAATGCGTAGCTCGTCGCCGAAAGCGATGCGGACAGGGTCGGGTGTCTTTAACCTGGACCATGCGTTCACGACTCAAGTCGACTGCCCCGACGGCAAAGCTCTCGAAGACGTACTTTCCTCGGCCAACGTCCTCCTTGACGTGTGGGGCTGGGGCGACATGGTGCCCATTTCGCTCACTGACAAGACCATGTACATTGCCCGACTGCACCAGTCGGTCCTTGACGCAATGCCCGACGAAGCGGCTACGGAAGCACTCACGAAACCTCGCCGCCGCCGCACCGTTCCTATCGCGGCCAAACTCGACGTGTTCATCTCGATCGACGTCGAAGAGCGCAGTGCCGACGGCATCTACGAGCCTGTGATGGTCAAAGAAGACGGGACGCTGCGGCTCAAGCAAGGCCAGGCGCGCCGTATCGTTGTCCGGGCCGTGCAAGCTGACCACCAGCACTTTTGCCTCCTTGGCATTCCCCACGTGCGCATCTGCAGCGAACGCACGCGGACCAAAGCGCCGCGCACCGAGTACGCTGCGGCGTCTGCTCTGGGCTCGGCCACGCTCGGCGGCTTCTTTCACAAATACGGCGCCGAGGTCTTGCCGTCCGGTTGGCGCCAGTCTGACGATCGACACGTAGGATGCGAGTCTGTCCCCTGGCGCCATGGACGACGCCAGTCAATGGCAAGCTCTCGACTTTCGGAGCCCGTCGCAGATTGATCCCGAGGCACGCACCGTGTCGTGCGTCATGAAGTGGGACGCTAATGCCGCCGAGCGTCACTGCCACCGAGGCGAGAGGCGTATCTTCCGCGTCGCCGTCGCGCTTGAAACGCAGATCTCGGAGGCGTCGGTGATTGTCGCCAAGAGCGTCACGACCAAGATCTGTGCGTCGGCGACGTCACTCAAGCAGCTCCAGCGTCAGGTGGCGCCAACGACATATCTATTGGTAGGTTCTCATGATTGCGTAGATGCAGACGGCGTGGTGGGCTCGCGAAAGCTTTAGCCGATCGCACCGCCTCGGCAAGTGGTTTGCCATTGAAGTTGTCAAGCCCGTCGCATCCCCGCGCGACGACGCGCCAGTCGCCAAAGCGCATCTCGCCGAGCGCCTCTTGGACCATTATGGCAAAGGTACATGAATGCCATCGGCATCGTACCGCAACGCCCGTCGTGGCTAGGCATGCAAAAACTGGACGTCGCATTCGATCTGGAGCGGTTCCGCCAGCAGTTTCTTGCCGAGACCGAGTCCTTGACCATGTCCGAGGTCGACGCAACGCCAACTAACGTGTGTGCGACCAAGTCCACGTCGAGCCATGTCGTCCAGCAGATTCGCGGCGAGCTCTTTGTCGAGCGCCGCAACACGCCCGGGCTCCTCGTGCATTTGACTTCGGGCACGCTTGTCGATACGACTGAGGCGACGGCGTACAGCCCCAACGTTGCTCACGTAGTGACGCAAACGTAAAGCCTGTTATAGATGTATGGTACCTCCATAATGTACGTCGGCAGCTATGCCCTATCGACTCCGAATTGAGCCTTATACACGAGCTTTCTAAGCCCGCAAACCTTGGAGAATGTGCTAGTGGCTCGTCGTCGGTTGGTGATGATAAATGGTGATACAACGGCCTGCTATGCATTGACTGTTGTGCGCGTGCAGTCGAACCAAGCGTCATCCCTGATATTAACGATACGTCAGGGACGCCCACGGCCCAAGGTTATGTCAGGGGGTACATTACGTGAGTTACCTGTTTTGGCTATACAACGAAACTGAGGCCTTCGTCGCGCTGAGGCATGACTAGGTGGTACAATGTTGTATGTTAGTTGGACCTGGACGAGGTCCTCAGCTTGATGGCGCGGGATCGACCGCGGTAGCCATGGCGCTGAAAATGCAGT